CCTTTGTGAAAATCGGCCTATCATTTGATTGACTGGAAAGAAGGAACAAAAATACCTCATTAATTCCTAGGTAAACGGTCTCCTTTATCTTTTATATTTGGTCTCAAATCGTGCTGACGCCAACATATTCTTCCAATCGTCTATATACGGCTAGACGCCAGACCGCAGCAGGTTTGGACAGTCTCCATCTCCAACTACAAGCCGCCATCGCTACTGGTCGGCCTGTGTTCTGTCTTGGTGACTTTAACGTGAACCTCCTGTGTCCCTCTGCTCCAAGCACGCGTCTATATACATCTGTTTTAAGTGATCTTAACCTCTCACAGCTCATCAGTTCCCCTACTCGATTCAATCCACCCTCCACTCTCGATCATATCATCACAAGCCTGCCCATTTCGGAATGCTCGGTAACAATACCTCCGGTGCCCATAGCCGACCATATGACTATCTTGGCCCGCGTTCCACTCCGTCGTCATAAATCACCGCGCCAGTCTTTTCAGATCCGCCCCTGGCGAAAAGTTAACTGGGACGCGCTGTGTCTGCATCTGTTACAGGCCGACTGGCAACCTCTGTATCGGGCGGAGGGGATCGAAAGCAAATTAGAGGAATTCATGAAAGTATGGCTCAGCGCTATTGATATTTACTGTCCAACTAAAACTGTGACGCCGCGCCGTCCACACTGTCCTTGGGTTGAAAATAACCCGGAACTGCGAGAGATCATGGACGAGCGGGACCGTGCTTTTACAATCTGGCGTGCATCTGGTGCAGAGTCTGATCTGTCAACGTACCGCCACCTTCGAAACCGTGTCAAGCGTCTTCTTGCCAAATCCAAGCGGGATTACTTGTGTTCTTCAATGCTATCGGACCGAACAAATTTTTGGAGGAACATTCGAAACTTCGCCATACGCCCAGGGACTGACAGCTCCTCCGAACCTTTAGGGACTGAAAAAGCCGACGAATTCAACCGCGACTTCGCCTCGGTTGGTCCCCGCATTGCCACAGAGCTGAAGGAGCGTCATATTGGCAACGACATGCCTGATATCTCACACAAGCCGCCCCGTGTCATCTCCACAAACCTGATCCTACATCCTGTGACACTTCCCGAGCTTTCCAAATATCTGAATGAACTATCCTCTTCAAAAGCCGTCGGTGTCGATGGTGTACCATTGATTGCTATTAAAAACTGTTTTGCCGTTCTAGGACCACATCTACTTCATGTCATCAATGCGTCGATTGTCAACCGTGTCTTCCCGGCCGCTTGGAAAATGGCATTAGTGGTACCAATCCATAAGTCAGGACCGCGCCATGTCGCGAACAACTTTCGGCCTATTTCCATTCTACCAGTTCTCTCGAAACTGTGTGAAAAAGCAGTGTGTGCACAGCTCTCCGCGTATTTTGTCAAATGTGATTTGTTTTCTCCCTCACAATACGCTTACAGGCCGTGCCACTCGACCGAGGACGCCGTCCTTGATGTGACTGAGTGGACTTCGCGACGAGTCGATGATGGACATGTGGTAGCAATCACGTCATTGGATTTAAGCAAGGCTTTCGACAGTGTTGATCACAGTGTGCTCCTGATGAAACTCCAGTGGTACGGTGTTGACCCGACCTGGTTCAAAAGCTATCTTGTAGGGCGACGACAGATGGTGAGGGGCGGCTCTCTTTTCCTTCCTCTATCCCATGGGGTCCCACAAGGATCCCTCATTGGTCCGATTCTCTTTAGCATCTTTACAAACGACCTTCCATCCTATCTCCCCCACGGTCGTTTGGTATCTTACGCCGATGACACCCAGCTACTTGACTCAGCACATCCAGACGACCTATCATCTCTTAAATCACGCCAGGAGAACTCTCTCCTAGCCGTTCAGTCTTACTTTACTGCAAATTCACTAAAAATGAACCCCTCAAAGACCACTCTCTTGCTAATAGGTACCCCCAATTCTCTCAAGAAGACAACATCCTTTCATCTGAACTTTCATGACTTCATTCTAAAGCCCTCCTCGTCCGTTAAAATCCTTGGAGTTACCATCGATAGCAATCTAACATGGGAAGCTCATATATCCACCGTTGTTAAAAAGTGCAACTCCTTTCTTTTTTGTCTACACAAAATCCGCCATCATTTAAATGCTGATGCCCGTCAACTACTTATCCAGGCACATGTGTTCCCCTTAATCCTTTACTGTCTTTCCGTCTGGGGAGGAGCCACCGCAAACCGTCTGGGCCGCGTGCAGAAAGCTCTTAATTTCGCTGCGAGGATCGTCACGGGAGCGCGGCGTAGCGACCATATATCTCCGATTCTAACAGCATTAGGCTGGCGCACTGTCTCAGAGTTAGTTAACCGTCGCGACTGTATGGCCATACACCGGGCCTTGAATGACCTCCGCGCTCCTACTGCCACCCGCGCACTGTTTTCGTACCGGGCTGATGTCAGTGCGCGAACGACGCGCGCCAGCAGTACGGGGGTATGTAGGGATCATCTATGCGATTTGTCATTTCATGTTGTCATTTTCATTTATATTGTCACCGCCTTATTAATCAATCTGTTACCTGTTGTCAATTGCGCGTCAAGTTTGTTTGTTATTTGTGGCCTCAACCTTCCTAGTAACCGCTGTGCCATACGCTATAGAACGTGTGTGCAAAGGTCACGGCGGCACCCCTGAGGCGGCCGCTGCCCGTACGTTTAGGAACCCATTGTCGTGACATCATGACTGTGAACGGCTGCAGGGCGAGTTGGTGCGTCACCGTAGATGAGAAGCTCCGGGCCGCTGGGCTCATTGCTGAGCGGTGGCGCGGCCGGCGGGCCGCTGGACGCAGTACCGTGCGGCTGCACAGTCGTAGAGGCGGAGGACTGCTGCGTAGGCTGGTGTGGCGTCTCTTCCGGAGACGCAGGCTTGCAGCGGTCGATGTTGCTGGTTGGCGTCAGTCTGGGAGCTGGCGAGGAGGTCCGGTAGCGAACGAAGTCGGCTGAGTAGAAAGCAGGCCTGTGCTTCCGGTTGGATGGTTCGCTGGCGACTACCGGCTGTTTGTTGGGTGGAGCTGGCGTCGGTTGGGCAAGTCCACTCGGTGGATTGCGGCGACGTGTGCTGAGCGGGGCGTCAGCGTCGATCTGGTGCTGCTTGGCAGTCTTCGTGTTCCGCACGAAGAGAAGTGTTGTGGCAGATGCTTTCGCCCGGCTGCACGGAGGTTCGCAGCGGCGGGCCTTGTTGCCGAAACGTTGGTGGTACCTGCAGACAGAGCTGTCTGGGTACGTCGGCGTCGGAGGGCGTGACGGGAGAGGCGTCTGACGGTCGCGCTGATGAGTCCGGTCGCGGCGGAAGAAGCTGCACGGCACTTTGCAACGGCGTGCCCTGGTGCCGAATCGCTCTGCAGCCGTCGCTCGGGCTGACGCTGCACCATTGCAGCCTCAGCCGATACTACGGACGACCCGCTCCGGCCGCGTCATACGACCTCCGGTAAGATATCGCCATGTCACTTTTGTCCGCGACATGTCTGGCGAGGGGGTACTGTAGGGATCATCTATGCGATTTGTCATTTCATGTTGTCATTTTCATTTATATTGTCACCGCCTTATTAATCAATCTGTTACCTGTTGTCAATTGCGCGTCAAGTTTGTTTGTTATTTGTGGCCTCAACCTTCCTAGTAACCGCTGTGCCATACGCTATAGAACGTGTGTGCAAAGGTCACGGCGGCACCCCTGAGGCGGCCGCTGCCCGTACGTTTAGGAACCCATTGTCGTGACATCATGACTGTGAACAAAGGTCGCGGTAGGGGCTCTCCCGGCAGCCGGACGGTGACTCATACGCTAAGCTTGTTTCTCGCCGCGCCTGCGGGCATATTGGTGTACTGTCTATCGTCCGCATTTTATGTACAATAGTGAAATATGTAATTTTGTAAATACACTCTTCTACTCATCGGCGCAAGGCTTTGGAGGAAAACGGAAGACGAGGAAGCGAGGGCGACATGAAGAGCCCCGGTGGCTGACGAGTGCTCGTAACAGAACACGCTTCCCGATCACCACGATCGGGTGATGTAAACTGGGACGACCATCTCTCCCCTAAGTTTACAGGTACTTGAGTTACCTGGTTTTCGCCTCAGTATGTCGCGGCGAAGTTTCTCCTACAGAGCGGCCGCAACTTGGAACCGCCTGCCGCAACAACTTAGGTCTTCTCGCACCCGTGCCCGTCTCACGGCTATGCTCGATGAACATGCACTGCCCTGAAATTTGTATCGTCTAGTCGTCAATTTCGTCTTTGTCTCTGGTCACTCGTTCTCTGTTCTTTCTGTTGCACATGTACTTACTGATGTTACTGAACCTAACACGGATCGCACAATAAGCCACACACGTGGAATGATTCGTTAAATATATGAATATATGAATATGGAAATATATATGAATAAAGATTGCAATGGGTTGCCTGGAAAATCTTATTTTGAAGCTTGCTACCAATTAAAGGGACCCTCCCACCTTCAAAAAAGTTTATGAATTGGCATGAAAGTGATGTCGCTCGGTTCAGAAAGAGCGAAAACGAATATCTACCAAATTTCACCGAAAAATATTCACCGGTTTTCAAGATATTGGACTTTTACTTTTGTTTACTTTTTTGGGATCTCCGCTGTTTCTAGCGACTTTATTTTAGAAGTGCGGCGTTTGCGGCAGATGTTGCGCGCAAATAGCATATACCACCGCATGCTACAAAACGTTTTAGTCAAACATTTAAAAATCGTTAGATATTTGCGCTGACGTCACACATTCAGAGGGGTATTCCTAAGCATTAGCCCCTCTGAATCAAAATACTGCAATTTTGAAATTCAATATTTCCGATTTAAGGCATTTCTCGATGTTGTGGGTGCCGAAACCGGTAATTGTGAGCCAGGGACCCCATTTTGGCTATCTCAACTCAAATCTAATGTTAAGGTGGGAGGGTCCCTTTAATCAATTCAAATACCAGCTTTACTGACACCCGACCACAATAAAGGCCCAATAAATGCATAAAAGCAAGTCGCATGGGTTGATTGATATAAAGCACAACTAGGGGTTTGGGGTTTGAGTTGTTTGTTTATGTCAACTAAAGCAAAGGCTACTTGTATTATGATATCCAGACACTTTTTGAGAGATTGCATCTAGAGTTTTTTTTGTAAAAGTCGCTAGTCCTGGCGTAAACTTGCAAATTTACGCTGAAGCGAAGCTGCCAAAAAATTACTCTGTTCGACCGGCAGTTTGGCGTCAGCTGCTGTTGCGGGTGGATGTGCGTCGCTGTTTTTAGTGCTATGATTTTGAGTACCAGGTGACATATTGATATACTGATTCAGTGTTACACCGAAAGTAATGTCAATCAGTGTGTGAAATCGTTCTTTGACTTTTATATCCGTGAATGAAGGAAGTGCTCGTGGCTTTAGTGTGCGCCATTACTGCCACCTTTTGACAGCACTGCGTGAAGAAAATAAAAGTCAAGTGGAAAGAGCTAATAACTGTTGAAAATGTTTTGCCCTTGCACTTTATCAAAAATGAAGCAAGGTTTGTGTATGCTGTTGGTGCTAATGGGCTGCTACGTGTCTGTAACACATGGAGATGGATTGGGCTGTGAACGGACTGCTCGAGCTTTCGCCAATCTCCATCTTCCTGTTCTTGACATTCCTCAGACAGACATCCCAGGTAAGCAGGACCTGCTTACATGTTTTGTGTAGGTGGTGCAATACTTTGCTACAGCTTTTCGTTTTTGTTGCTTTAACTATTGTATGGTGTATGTATACCGTAAAATGGGGTGTTAAGGGACAGTGGGGTGTTAAGGGACAGTCGTGTGGGAAAAACTTTGAGTCATAATAACTTACTAATTTGAGAAGGTTAAATAAAAACTTGAGTGTGGTAGTTGACACTGTTTTGTTCTTGACTATAGGACAAAATGGCATGATTTTTCATGCAAATGATTTGGTTCAAAAATGGTTTTGAAAATCATGCTACATTTTCACAAAATTGGAACATCTCCAAAACTCTGTGTGTACCACAGAAACTAGTAGGTGTGCAGGGAAAATAAATGCATAGGTGTATTGTCACATGTATTGCACATGTTTCCTGAAAAACTTATACAAATCCACCCATTTGTTCTTCCTCTTTTCCAGATACATGCATATTTTGGGGTGGAAATGGGGTGCTATAGGACAGGGAAGAAAAAAATAAAAATTAATATCCAAATTTAATTTTATTCAATTTTCTTTCAGTAGGCATGCAAAACACCAAATTCCACATAAAATACTGGCAAGTTCATGCTTCTATCTCTAACACATCTCAACTTACCTTATAATTAGCACATTTTCCCGAAGCATAAACTGCATTACATGTAATTGACTAAAAAGGAAATTAGTGGTGTATGAACCTGACTTGTTTTGTGACAGAATATGCAAAACACTTCCATAAATAAATTGTGTGCCCTTTCACACACTAACTATGGGCATTTGATAACTATTTCTTGGAAAAATATAGGTGTCCCTTAACACCCCACATTGGGGTGCTAAGGGACAGTGAGGAAAAATAATAAAAAATAATATGCAGGTATACATTTTTAAAATGTTAATGTAGCATGCATGAAAAGCACCAAATTCCACATAAAATGGTGATTATTTGATGCTTCTATCTCCAACCCTTCTTGAGTTATATAACAAAACACCTCAAAACTGTCCCTTAACACCCCATTTTACGGTACTCAGAAAGAGGTAGGTACAGCCCACCGCTAAAGTAATGTAGGGTTTTACCAATCTCAACGGTTGGCTTTGACTGGCGATTGTTTAATGCAGAGTGATTGAAAAGAAGATGTCAATAGCTAAAGTTGCAGGTGCAAGGGTAACGATACATATAAGCTACATTTAAAGTTTCATTGTAGTCTGGTTAATCGTTCCTAAGCTTCAGAAGCAGAACATACCCATGACTAGATATATATTGAGTAACTGAAACCCAACATTACTTCTGCTGTGGACTCTACATCATAACTCCTTTTGTTTGAGTGATGCACTTGTTATACCTTGCTTACTGCTCATAGTTCTTCCATAGAGAAAATAGAACCTACAGTTATGGTGTCTATTTTATTTATAAATGGTGTGAAATATTATGCAAAGTTTCTTATTAAGTGTAACAAGTGACTGTGTTAGTCTAATCACATAGGTATCAGTCAACTTATAGAGACAAAATGTTTTGTTTGTTCAGGTCAAATAGCTAGCCCAAGCATGTAACATGAAAACAAGGTCTGTTTTTTTTTAACAAATAGGTACAGAGGGTCTTGAAATGGACATTCAGGGACATGGTTGGTCCCCCCATCCCCCCCCGAAAGTCTTTTGTCTTCCATGTATTGGATGTCACTCCTGGAATGGAAGGAAGCTCAAAATGTGCACATGCTAATTACAAGAACTAACAGTGCTTGTTGACACTGTCATCTCATTGGTTTTGTAATCCATAATATAGCTAGGAAATCATTATCATAATGGTTATGAATTGGCTCAATAACATCAATGTATTTCATTTATCTCAGTGTTTGACTCTTGTCAGATACTGTCATTTTGTGCTGGTAGCTATAGTAAGTGGCATGTGCACTCTAGAGATATGGGCCATAGGGTGGGCCAGGGTGACTGCCACTCTACCAATCACTACCTTTTGCACAGAACTATCAGCAGCATCCAAGGCAGGGTTTAACATAGAAACCTGATGCAATGGAGTATCAGACAGCATGAAGTAGTGCAGAGATAAGGTTAAGTTTAATTAGGATGCAGAAATAAATCACTTCCTGATGGCTGCTGCTCTATTGTAAGGAAAGGAAATGAAGGTGGCATTGTTATTACCAACCAGGATTACAATTAATGCACACTTCATCAGTGAATGATCAATGAGGACACTTCAATCAACACTCCCACCAGGGCGTCTAGTAACCAAAATTACAATAAATTCTAAGGTGTTGGAAGCTCTTTTATGAGCATTGGCCGACTTTCACAAGTGATATTGTCTTCAAGACTTAATCCTGCCATCGCAGCATTGTGAAATCTCAAACTTTTTGGGTTGTAGAGTCTGGCTCAGTTTCCTAGGTCATTGCGATGATTTGCTTCAAATCACGGACAAGTGCCGGAATGGCCGGCTTAAACCAAAGTTTTGATGGCCCAAGTTTCTCTGTTCCGTCTCCATTACCTCTTAGGTACTAAGAAAGGTAACACCTCAGACTGGGGAATGGGTTGTTGATGGGTATTGGTTAAAGGGACAGTATCATCGAAAAAAAAATCAATGTATGGAGCTGATTTTTTTTTTTACTAGCATTTCTTATTTTCCTGAATCAGAAAAACATAGTTTGAGGACCGAACTCGGTGAAAAATATTGCAACCACATTTCATTTTCATGATTCATTTTCATGAGCGAACCACCACTATACAAGCATGGCCGCCATTTTGGAAGCATGCAAAATTACTACAGAACTGGCGCAGATAATACATTATTGACGCTACGCTTACGCGGTCGTTCTTCTGATTGAGTTGTCCTTAGGGAGAGGTAGCCTTAGGTATTGCCTATAAAAATATCACGTGACAATTGGAGGGAGTGACAGTTGGACGTGACAATTGACAATGGGAGAAAATATCACGTGACAATCACGTGATAAACGTCATAAATTGGAGGGAGATTGTGATTCAAGCTGGAGGAATTCCTTAAATAGTAGAAAATGTAAAAACATGACCTTATTTCCTCGATAATTGCCAAAACTAATGCTGTACAAATATATACTTTATTTGAAAGAATGTAATATTTCGACCACAGGTCTTTTTCAAACAGTTTCAAATTAGAAAAGAATCTTTTCATCTTTTCTAATTTGAAACTGTTTGAAAAAGACCTGTGGTCGAAATATTACATTCTTTCAAATAAAGTATATATTTGTACAGCATTAGTTTTGGCAATTATCGAGGAAATAAGGTCATGTTTTTACATTTTCTACTATTTATGAACATGTTCCTCGCACAAGCACTAACCTCATTAAAGAATTTGGAGGAATTCCTTAGTTGAGCCGCTAGAATCCGAAGGAAACAGCGGAAATTGCCTACGACTATTTAATGAATTTAACGGTGATTAATAAGTGCAAAAAACGTTTTGGCTTTATAAAATTTGATGAAATGACCAGGGTAAAAGTTTTATTACTGGCGGTCAATTCAAAACGGCGCAAACATTTAAACAGTGAAGATAGTGAAGCACGATTCAAAGTGTAGTACACCTTTCGTACTTTGAGCGGCGATAGCGGGATAACGGTGTGGAGCTTCGAGGATCGGTCTTCAGTTCCCGGACCAGAAAGGTGGGGCCTATGCAATGTCAAATTTCATCAAAATGGTGATACTGTCCCTTTAATGGAGTTGTGCGTCGAGTCGACAGGTGACGGTGGTTAGTTCCGCCGCCCGCGAGCCGGGCGCCGGGAGCACATTTCTGCGGCAGCCTGTGTGTGCCGGTCGTTTTGTGAGACCGTCAGCGCGGACCTCTCCATTGTGGCCGGCAGGTGGTCTTCCGACCGGACTGAGCCCGGCCCAGCCGCCGATTGGGCTGTTTCCCAAATGAATGCGCCTCATAGAGTCGCTCGGCTGGACGGGCCAATGATGCGTTTAGCTGATGGTCGGTGATGGTCCCTTTGAAGGGCCGCCCTATCCATAAATCAGTGGTCACAGGTAGGAGGGGTGGCCGGCGCCGGATTCCATCGGCCCCGGTCTCGGCCGGCACCCGTCCCTCCCTGCGGCCGCTCGGGGAGGACGGCCGGATGTGGCCCCACCGCGGCGCTCCGCCTCCCCTCCCCTCCCCCTGGGCCGAGCGGCAGGGTGACTGGTGAGCCGCCGCTCCGGCCCGCACTGACGCCGGCCGCCTGCCGCCGCCGCCCCAGCCGCATTCCTTTGTTGAGAGCTCGGCCGCGCCGCCGCACGACAGGCTCTGGTCTGCACGGGGCGGACATCACAGTACCTTTCACGTGGTCTCGATCTGGCCCCGCCAGTAGCGGCGGAACGCCTTCAATGAAAGGGGTTGGGGCACTGCCGACTTTTGGTCCCATTCTTTCCATGCAACGCCCATAGGGCTGATGTTAAAATGTGAAAATCAAAGGGGGGCAAGGTGCCCCGATACCCTCCTGTTCCGCCGCCTATGGACTCCGCAGTGATGGATGTCTGTCTACATAAACCGATGCTGTGTTGTATTCCAGACTTTCAGTATGCATATCGTACCAGTATTCAAGTAAATTTGCCCGAAATGGCAGGACAGGACAGCGCTCACTATTGCGTCTTTTTTGGGGCGGCTTGAACTTTTATTTGGTCAAAATTCCTTCAAGATAGTCACTGATCACTTTCCAAGAGACACAGCAACTTCGCTTAAGACTATTAAGAAATGTACATTTCTGTGCGACTGTATTCCTCCCATGTTGGCATGACCGCCGATCTGCCGTCGCGGCGGCGGCATTGGCCTCGAATCAGCGACTGAGCGCCGCCGCCCGCTTTAATGCCGCATCCGCCGGCCGGTGCATAGTAATCGGGCCATTAATCGGCGGCCTGGCTGCACGCTGGACTGACCGGATTGTGGTTGGTGCAGGGGCGGATGGACCGCCTGGAATGGACCGGGGTGGCTGGTGAGTCGCCTGGAACGGACCAAGGCGCCTGGTGAGCCGCCTGGAATGGACCGAGGCGCCTGGTGAGCCGCCTGGAATGGACCAGGGTGGCTAGTGAGCCGCCTGGAATGGACCGGGGTGCCTGGTGAGCCGCCTGGAATGGGTCAGGGTGGCTGTTTGACCGCCTGGAATGGGTCAGGGTGGCTGCTGAGCGGTATGGAATGGACCAGGGTGGCTGTAAGCCGTATGGAAGGGACCGGGGTGGCTGTTTGACCGCCTGGAATGGACCAGGGTGGCTGCTGAGCGGTATGGAATGCCAAGTATCCTCGCGAGCAGCGACACCGTTGGGGTCGAGCTACCTACCAGGCCACTGGCCTTCCGACTGCATTTGGCGCCGCTATTTCTGACTGCTGGCCTCTGGTATTCATCTCAACGCAAAGCCATCAGATATAACATGAGTCCATGATAGCGTCAAGGAACGCTGTTTTTGTCAATCTCTGTGGCAAACATTTTCGGATATCGTTTTCGCCCTCGAAACTCCCGGAAATTCCTCTTCTCGCCATGTGATCAGCGGGGATTTCACGTGACCCGTCCTCTGACACTGATGACATGCTCGTATTTTCTGCTCGTTCTCGACTGTCGTGTGTTTAAAGGCCGACTCCAATATGTGAGCTTGAAATATATAGTGAGCCCCGACACTGAAATACAGCCACGTCACTGTAATTCCATCCGTCTGACAATCATTGGTAGGTGGTAAAACAGACTGAGTAGAACAGACTGCCGTCCGCTCAAATGTCGAGCTAGATACCTATGTGTTGATGTGCTGGCCTAGAAGTTCTGAAAGCCCCATCAAATAGCTTCAGTGTTGGCCATATTTCCTTCGCGAGGATCGACAAAATATACGACCTGCGGCAAGCATCCTTTCTGTATGTTTGGAGCCCCATGGATCCACCCATTGAAAGCATCAACTGGGCTTTGGAAGCCGCCTTTCGTGATATTTGATCCGCATGCTCCTCCTGTAAAGCCACATCCGTCTGCGCCACTCCATTCAGAACTCTGCTCGTAGATCCGATTACCGTTGCTAGATAAGTGATCGACGATTGCTGCACGGTGGAAAATGCACGCCACATTTTTTGCTGATTCGATTACGTGCATCATCCTGTTATAGTATCAGGCAATCCTCACACGTATTGCGATGTGTGTGGGCAAGAGTAAACCATTGCCTAATGTCCATTACATATTTATTTTGTATTTCTATAGAAACATGTCAGGGGGAGGGGCATTCCGTGCGATTTTAAGCGAAAACCAGCCATCACCAGACTATACCTAGGCCGGCCTGCCGTTCTACCCCGACCGGCCGGCCGGCCTGCCGGCGTGCTGCTCTTTCAAGGTGGCCGCGTCTGGCGCCGCCGACTCGGGCAGTGAAGCGGACCGCATTGTTGCGCCGCCAGTCATGATGCGGTACTCATTGATGCCGGGATCCGGTCAGACCGGTCAGCGGCGTGATGACAGCACCCATCGGCACGCCGGCAAACCGCTCGCGGCACGGCCACTGGAACAGAAACATGCACAGGACGTGAGGCGAGCAGTGTTCTTTTATCCACGTCAAGTTGCTCATCCGAGTACATTTGGTCACCGCTCAGTGACTGGTTTCGTGCGGATTTGTGGTCACGGCACTGTAAAGCCGTGGATTAGGTTCCGTTGAGCCGCACCTGAGTCGGCTCAGCACTTCCGGCCGGCGGCCAGGTGACGTCTCGCCGGCGGGGGTCGGCCCGGCGGCACTGTGAGGCGCCGCTCAGTACCGGTGCGCGCTGACAGGAGCGCCCGGCGGCGCCCGGCGCGGCGGGACGTCACCGGTCACGGCAGTGCGTCACCGGCACAGACGCCCAACCCCGGCACGCAACGGGACGGCGCCAGCGGACGGCCACCGCGGCCGCTGGTATTCATGCTGTCGAATTTGGACGCATGTAAAAGTTTTCCAACATGTTAAAACAGAAGTATTTTTCTGACGTGTCTGGCCAGCCAATCGGAGTCTCGAACATATCTTCCAAGAAATGTCGTTTGTAGCTAAATATGTGCTTATGGCCAACGCTGATGGACAACAGACTACCTAAAACATGACAATGTCGTGGTAAGTGTGGTCGCCATCCTGATAAAAAATGTCATTGTCTGCTCGTGCCCCCGCGTCGTGACCGGAGCCCTATGTCTGTCCGAGAACTCTTGACAGGGACAGGGAATAAGCCACTCCCAACACTCATGACAGGGAACAAGTCCTTAATCTGATTTCGGTGCCCCGGCCGTGGTAAACCCTTTTACCTGGCCCCGGTACGCTGTCTGGAGTCAGCTCCCTCTTCCCGGCCCCCGCCCGTGCCTGTCCCTCTGTCTGACCCCCACTCTAACCGAAGCCCGTCCGCCTCTCCGCCAGGCGACCACCTGGAGATCTGCTCGGCGCCGCGCACGTGCTGTACAGAGGCGATGGAGCTGCAGCTGAGCGAACTGGCCCGCCGGCAGCTGGACGATGCCGTCCAGCGCACGGTCGGGGAGGTGGCCGACGACCTCGGATCGCAGGGCTCCAACTTTGACGGTGAGTTTCACCACACCGCAGCAGCCGCGGCGGGCTTCGGTGGACGGCCGGGTCCGGCTGTTTATTTATTCGAGGCGAGTGTTTTATCAGTGGGCATCCACTGTTGATGTCATGGCCTCGTAGCGTGATATGCCGGGCTTTGTTCTTGTTTGGGGTCGAAGTGGGACACGGTTCCATGCTGGCCTTGGGTGTTTTTGGTTTATTTTTCATTACTTCTACCGGGAGCATGCCTTCTAAAGGCTGCTTAGTTTTCTGGAGTATCATCTAAATTGATGAAATATTGCCAACATTCCTCCTTCAAATACGCACACGCATTCAAAATCGCACGCACAAAATCGTACACGCATTCTGACCAGAGGAAGCCCACGACAGGTTAGAGTAGTTGGAAAAATACACCATGCTGGCGTCCCTCTGAGGTCAAAAATGACTGTAGGAAATTGTGATCTTTCCGCTGCTTTTCAACTTAAAAGGAATGCTTATAGTCTGTTCCACTTAACTTCAACATTCACTCCAAGATGGGTGGCTCATTAAGCACGCGACATTAAAGCGTACTTAAGAAAATCGAGCAGAGCTGCAGCCAAAGCTGCGGCGAAATTCTGACAGACAAGTCACTTTGGTATCAATTTGGTATATTTGGTCTTGGTCATTGGTAGCCCAGATAAGTCCGTAAAATATCAGGTGATACTGATTTTTGATACTGAAGAATGGTGCATGCTATGTATTTGGACGGAAAAAAGTCACTTTGGACACGATGAAAGCAGCGGTGCAAAACAACTCGGGAAGACCATCTCTCGATCAACACTTCGAAGGCAGCTATTGCAGAACGGGTTCAAGTTCAGGGAAGTGAACAACCGAAAGCTGCTGATCGAAAAGCCTCAGGTGGTCGCCGCAAGAAACACTTTCCTCAGGCGAATTCAAAAGATAAGACAGCAAAACCCGGATCGAAATATCTTTTATCTGGATGAAACTTGGTATAACCAGTTCGATATGAAAACGGTTGCATGGTTGGACGATGATGAGGTGGTCGGTCAGAAACCAGTGACTGGGAAGGGAAAACGACTTATCATAGTCGACGCTGGATCTGAGAAAGGATTCGTCTCAGAAGCATACATGTGCATGAGGACAGATGGCAAGTCAGCTGACTACCACACGTCCATGAACTCCGACTGCCTCGAGACCTGGTTCACGCAACAGCTGCTACCAAACCTACCACCTCATAGCGTCATAGTCAATCATGGACAACGCGTCATACCACTCACGATGCGCGAACAAAGCTCCCACATCAAGCTGGCGGAAGGCAGCTATCCAAGAATGGCTTCAGGTCCATCACGTCGAGATTGATCCGGGCATGCGGAAGGTGGAGCTGCTCGAGCTTGTGCGTCCTCTCCGACAGGCACGCGAGTACGTGCTTGACATGCTGGCGCAAGAAGCAGGTCACGAAGTTCTGAGGCTGCCACCCTACCATTGTGACCTTAACCCAATTGAAATGATTTGGGCACATATGAAGTCCCACGTCCGCCAGCTGAACACCTCTGGGCATCTCCAGGACATCGAAAGGCTGCTGCTCGAGAGCCGGGACGCCACCACAACGGACATGTGGCGTAACTGCTGCCGCCATGTGCAGGAACTGGAGGAGGCATACTGGCGTGCTGACGGCATGCTGGAGGACATCGATCCTGTGGTCGTGTCATTGCAGGATTCGAGCTCCGACAGCGACAGTGATGAGGAATGATGCTTGGTGATGTTCGTCAGGTGTTCGTTGTTCTTGGACCTGTATAAGTATTGTGCGTTATATCTTCTCCGACTGAACGATTGTAACTGCAACCGCCCACCCTGCGTTGTACACTTGGTCGCGTCTGGTGTTTCCATAATATACTCAGTCCTCTGTGACGAACGGCTTTTTACATGGAGTGGTTTTGTACATGGGGGAGCATAAGAGACATTTGGATTGGAGCTTACCATCTGTCCTAAAAATTAACTGTCGGCTGTGCAGTAGCCATAGAGCCGCAGGAAAAGCAACTGTTCTAAAGAGCCAAAGATGACAGACATTGCGCCACGGGTCTCAGTGGCACCTCCCGCACTTTGGCGGCGCTCGAAATTCCCTGTCTGGTGTGTTCGATTTTTATTAAAAACTATTCTTGCTCGTGCATTATCGAACAGCTATCTTGGAGTGAATGCTGAAGTTAAGTGGAACAGACTATAGTAAGCAAGTCACTTTATTCTCAATTGTGGAGCAAAAGAAATTAGCTAAAAGATTCGTCATAAAGGACTCTTCATATAGGTATTCTTGATGACATGATCACTCGGAAATATGCCACCTATCTGCTTTTGACCTGGCCATTACGAACAGCGGGTTGAGTTGGAACAGATGTGCCCGCGCTGTGGACAGGTGTGCTGTGTGTCCCGTGCAGAACTGTCTCTGCGGCACCGCTCTCTCGGAGGCAGGACAGGGCCTTCAGACGCTCCGGCTCGGGCGAGCTTTATACGGATGCAGCTTATTGCAACAATGCATAATGCATATATACTGACAACGGTGCCCACATTCACCCCAGACCAGTGCAGCGCACAAGCGCTCGCTTCCGGGCTCAAGGTGGAGGAACCTTACGATCTTATTTGGCAGGAGTTGGTGCATGAAGACGTGGACAGACATTGAGAAGCTAATACACCTTTTTGGGTTGTTCGATGGCCAATCGTCATAACCATTTCGGCATCAGTTTGGACAAGCGTCATTCAGAATAACCCATCGGCGATGTGCATCACTGTTAGACGGTCGGCAAAACAGGCTGGACTCCATTTAACCATTCTGCATAACTCTTTGTCATTGAGCACAATGTTTGTCAGATTGTCATAATGCTTCGACATTTCACAAAATGGTTAGTCGATGTGCAAAATTCATCGGTACTGTGCGTAAACAATGACTGTTTATTTAAAACTTTCATCAATGATCAAAATGTCAATGATGTAGTGCTTATCTAGCCATATTCAATGTTTAACGTTAATCACGCATTCAGGGATGAGGCTTATGACAGTTCCAGCGCAATTTGCAACCAATTAACCATTGAATTCCGAAAAAGGCAGTTATCATAGCTACGAGGAGACTGCCGGCGCCATACCGAGTAGGCATGTAGATTCTTGAGCGTCGGACTCCTAAACGCTTTGATACAAACCACGAAGTCGGCCGTCATTATCGCGTCACTGCCCGTGCGATGTCATGGGACAACGCCTCGGGCGGCCGCGCCGGTCGGACTCGCGAGGGAATGGCTGACAGATGGCAAGCCGGGCCCTGCCGGCCGGACACCTTGTTTTTTGGGGCGGGGCTGACTTATCCAGCCTGTTGCCTGTTCCTTGGTGTTTGAGGCGGGGTTAACTTATCCAGCCTGTTGCTCTGTTGCCTGTCCATTTTTCAATCAGCCGATAACATGTCAGCTACGTCCATCCACATTGTACCTATGGCGCTCATGAACGCTACCGATTTTTATGTAGATCAATGGTCTACGAGTTTCGCCACCTATGCCTCGCACTGCACTGTATAAACCCGGTCATATTTATACTTCTCTGTAAAGGGGCGATCTGTTTTTAGTTTTGACGAAATGTTATGAGGAATGCCGAAATTAGCATGGGGATGTTTTGGTGAACGACGAAGGGATATTAATGAAAGACGAAGCATTTATCCAAATCGTCAAAGGTTTTGCCGGAACTCAATCAGTTATGGCGAATAGCGAAGGTAATACCAACTGACGAACTGTGGAGTGGGATCAGCATTCCGTTTTGCCCATATGCTGAAGGTTTTGCCGGAATGCCTCTCACTGGCGCCACCTATGTGCTGATCGGACGAATGGGTTTTGCTGATTGGCCATCGAACAACGCAAAAAGGTGTAGTACTTGATCTTTTTGCTTGACTCGGTTATTTTTAGTTTCGGTAGGAGGGTATCACCTACTAACGGGTAACTTCGTTTCGCAGTCCGGGATATTGCAGTGGCCAAGATACCCTTCTATGTTTAAAGATCATTAAGCTATGCCCTAGACTGAGAGTGCATACTCAACAGCTGCAAGGACAAAGTATGGGATGAATAATGAATGTGCTATGTCGCGAGGATTATGACAATGACTCGTTTACAGGGCGAAACACGTCCTAGCCAAACACGATCTAAATATGGAGTGTATGGGGCTCACCCTGGCAACGGAAATGACGATCGTTCTTGCTCAGGCATGGACGGCTGGATCTTACGAGCGCCCAATCCAAGTTTGTAAACTGTCCCATCCCCAGTCACTCCCCATCCCACCCTCTTCCGGCGAGCGGCCCCCGCCTGGAATCACACCCAGCCGGTCGGCCGGCTCGAAACACAAAGACGCTGCCGAAACAAAGATCGAATAACAACGGTGCGGGCTATCGGGCCGCTGTGAGCCGGCTGTAAATGCCGCCACGGCCGCGACTGGAGGCCCATCGATCGGTCCATCTCTCGGCGCCGCGGCGTGGGAACGGGAACTGCGCCGGCATCCTCCGACCGGCCGGGCCGCGTGCCGGCGAGGAATGGCCGGCCACCGCGCCGCGGCCTTGCCAGAAGTGACCCTGACTCGTCCGCTGGACGGCAGCTCGTCTCCAGTGCAGTCCGGAGAGTAGCGGCCGCGACCCTGTCGTCTGCCGGTGGCGTTGGGCAAGCGGTCGGCGCCCGCTCTGCGCGTGGGTGGGTGGGGAGGGAGGGGGTGTCGGAGCGGCGTGCGGGTCTGGTCGCTGACCCCGTGCAGCTGGAGGCGCCGGCCGTGCCAGAGCGGCCGCCGCGGCGGGGCGGGGTCAGAGGTGAGGCGGGGCCGTGACGTCCCTGCGCGGCTGGCCGGGGACCGGGCGGACCGGGCTGTCTGGGGACCGAGCTGTCTGGGACCAGGCTGTCTTCCCACCTTCTCATCCAGCTGTATGGGGACCGGGTTGTCTGGGATTGGACTGTTCTGACTGTCTGGGACCGGGCTGCCTGGGACCAAGCTGAACCCACGACCGGTCCTCCGCACTGTATGTGTAGAAATGAACAGACCTCCCTAGTCCCTAAGGGAATGGCTGGCAGAACGGCCTCGGGCATCCCGTCAGCCGGCTGCGGGGAGTCGCTGCAGAGCAGAGTGGCGTATCATCGGCCGGCCCGCTCCGGCGCGGCGCGCGCCGCTGTCCGCCCATTGATTCACATTCTGCAAATGCCGGCCGTGCCGCGGCACACCCAGCCGCAGTGTGTCGAAATGAGTAGCGTTCCGGTCATTGCAGAGCGCCTGCAGTCTGTTTGACATCCGACTGAGCTCACCACCACGCTGCCAGGCGTTTGTTTCACAACTGCAACGATCTGGTTCCCGTAGACTCTTTTTTTGGGGATGTATTCTCTCGTCGTGTTGAGTGGTAGGAGAAGCGACCGCTCCAGGGTTCTACCGCCGCTGGCGGCTGTCTCACTCCGCGTCACTGGAAAACTTCGCCGCTCGAGTGCGCTCGTCCAGGGTCCGTCTCTTTTTATTGTCATCTTGCAGAGCAGCCTTGTAAACAGCGTGCCCACAAAATCGGGAAGTAATGAGCTTCAGCGCTATTGGCGCCAGACGGTGCCGTGGTAAGGCGAGACGGTTAGAGGCGTCTAGAGTGATCAGAGCATTTCGTCGAATTGTCCATTATGTTGGCTTTTGTTCATTCATTGTTCATTGATGGAGACGGTGAGAAGTCATGTAATCTCTATTGCCCTTTCGTTGGCGCTGAATCTTTCGTATTTTCCCAAGCAAGGCAACATTTTGATCTTCGCAACATATCAAAATTATTCTCTTCTTTATATTTGGATGATATCAAATAGAAGCGACTTTCACGTCGCTTTTGTCTACACTTGTCCTCACGTTACGTGGGAGCGGACTAAGACCCGATCACGTGAGCCAAGTTGTTGGTGTAGCAGCCAGGCCAGCTCTATAGTCACGTCATCACGGTAGTCATGTCTGGCTCGGTGCAACAATAAGTGCAGCCCTCTGCGATAATCCTACCCCTGGCGACTCCCGGCTCCCGTCGTCCAGCCTCTTAACCAAATGTCAGGTCTTACACACACTGACTAGCATAATTATAATTGGCCGGTATTTATTGTGAGAGTCGGTGTTCAAGGCCGGTCTGGCGGGCGACGCCCGCTCGAGAGAGAGAGGTGCTGCTGAACAAGCTAGGCTGCCAGTCTGACCGAGCACTGTTCTCAGCACGGGCTATGCTGACAGTACTACGAGCTGTTTTTGTAGTACGAGCGCGCTCTGCTTTCGGTACGAACAAGCTGAAACGGCAGTATGGGCGAGCACTGCTTTCAGTGTGACCGAGCTGTGTCCGCCGAATGACCGAGCTGTGTCCGCCGAATGACCGAGCTGTGTCCGCCGTATGACCGAGCTGTGGCCGCCGTACGAGCGAGCTCTGTCCGCCTTGCGAGCGAGCTCTGTCCGCCGTACGAGCGAGCTCTGTCCGCCGTACGACCGAGCTGCGTTCTCCGTACGGGCGAGCACTGTTTTCAGTACCACTGAGCTATACGAGCTAGCTTTGTCCGCCGTACCAGCGAGCTTTGTTCGCCGTACGAGCGAGCTTTGTCCGCCGTACGAGCGAGCGGCTCACCGCTGGACAGATGGACGGCACACCGCGGCTCCGGCCATCATGAGCTCATGCTTATGCATGCCGGCCTGGTGCGGGGCAGCCGGGCCACAAGGTCACTGGCTAACCGGGCGCCGCCGCGCCGGCCGGCGACGGCGGGCACCGCTCGAGTAGGCGTGCCGTGCTGTCTTTTGTCATCATACCACTTTGTATAGAGTGTATTATTGTAATAACACCCCCTGTATTCTGTAGTCTGTAGAAGAAAGAAATGGGCCTTGTAATACCACCTTGCCCTGTCTGTTGGGGAGGGAAATGTACCCTCCAACACCAGCTCACCCTTTCTGTCGAGGGGTGGAGCCTTCCGACATAACCCCGGTCGTCGGACGAGGATAGATTAACCTGACACTACCCCACTTTTTTCTTCCGGCAGAGTTTTTTCGCGGCATGATGAACGAGTCACGCGCCTCCCTGGACGCCATGTTCAAGAAGACGTACGGCGTTCTGTACGAGCGCAATGCGCACGTGTTCACCGACCTGTTCAAGCAGCTGGAACTCTACTACGCCACCGGCTCGCGAGACCTGGTCGACGTGATGAACGAGTTCTTCACGGTGCTCTACAAACGGATGTTCACCGTGCTGAATGCGCAGCACACGTTTGATGATAAGTGAGTACTGATGACCGATGATAAGTGAGTACCGATGACCGATCAACTCTCATTTCCTAGATTGCCATACAAGGAGTGAAAGTCCCGGCTGTTTTTGGGGATTAGAAGCTCCTTCTTTTATCTGTCATTCCTTCTTTGATTTCAATTAGGAAGTGCTGGGAGAATAACTGCTTAATCTGTTGAATTTGCTTAAAAGCTCTCGTAGGAATACACACCTAATCAGATTACCGTTCGGTTGATTGTTTTTGGTCAACATCCCCCTCATGTTTTATTAATCACGAGAGCGGCACTCGCTCCGGCTCACTGTGCCGCACGAGCGCTCGTCTTTCTCACGATCCGGTCCGAGGTCGGACCCCGCTCCGGCGGGGGCTGGCGTCGATGATGTGCGCGCGCTAGTGGCCGGTGTTCCGGCGCGGATAACCCACCGCTCCATCCCCTAATAGAGGCATTACCCGGTGGGCAATTACCGTGGGACGCGAGGCGCCCGGGCCGACGGTAAAATATGCCCGACCGCCGGCGGTGCCCCCGCTATAAATGGCGGCCTCTCGGCGCCGGCGGACCGCCCAGGTGGCGGCAGCGCCTGTGGCGGCGGACCGCCCGGCGCCTGTGGCGCGCGCCGGCCTCTGTACGGCCGCCGGTGCCGCGGCTCGCCACCTGCTGTCCTGTGTCCTCACCCAGCCCGGCCCGGCTGTCTGCCGGACAGGCTGGTGCGTGTGTCGGGACCGCCCGCCGCGGTGGCGGGGCCGCCCTGGCCGGTAGAGGTGTGCGGCTGCTTCCGAGGCTGGTACTTCCCAGGGGAGCCCGTCCCCACCACTTCAGGAACACGAGGCATGCAGTGCAACAACTGTCTGACATTTGGTGCGCGCTGCACAGTCGCAGTGGTACTGGGGTTCCCGGCAGCTTTTATCAATCGTGTGGACTGTGGAGGCCTGTGAAAACACTTTATCCGTGTGCGGAAACTCGGGAACGGGAAGGACTTTGTCCGTTCGCGGTGGCTGTGGAATGGGATGGACTATGTGGTAGCTGCCTGTAGCTGGCTAGGGCACGGGACCGCGCCTCGGCGGCAGCCAGCTATAAAAACCAGACTGGACCGGACCGGACCGGGAGGGAGGAAGGGGAGGGGGCGACATTCCATCCGTCGGTCTGACGCGGCCGCCGCCGACGGTTGTCAGGTGGCGACCGGGGCCGGCCGGCCGGCCGGCCGCGGCAGCCTCTGGGTCGGACTGAGGGTCCGGTAGGTCTGCTGGGTCGGACTGAGGGTCCGGTGGGTCTGCTGGGTGTTACTGTGTATCCAGTGGAGGGTCCGGTCGCTGCCGCTCGCGGAGTAGCGCTGCCGGCGCCGGTCGCCGCTCGGACACGGCTGCAGTCGGACCGTGTCGGCCCCGGGCCCGGCCTCCCCCGCCGGTGCCGCGTGCACGGCGGCCGGCCGTGGGCGGCGATACGGATATTATGAGCCGGCCAGCTATTCATCACCATTAGGCTGCTGCTCTGCGCCACCTCAGCGGCCGCGCCGCGCCGCGCTGTGCCGCTCGTTTTAACCACCGGACCGCCAGCGAAGAGGCGGCTCCGAACAGCGCCCTCTGGGCCAAACGTGTGCCCGCTTGCGCCCGCCGCCGCCTCCCCTAATTGCACCTGGCTGGAGGCCAGGCCGCGTCCAGCCTTTCATTGTTCTCATTCAGCGGCGCCGCTCGGCGGGCGAGCTCGCCGCTCAGCCGGTCCATACAGGGACGACCCAAGACAAATCGACAGCAGCCCCTGAATGATATACGGATGTGGCGCCGCTATTCACCTGTTGGCAGCCGAGACCCGAACCCGCTGCCACCGCTGACATTGGGAGATGGGAATTTTTATGGTCTTGAATTAGTGGCGTCTCGTAAATTGGTCCGGTATGCATTCCAAGCCGGTGTGGGACGCGGACGCAGCGGTTGGAGGCCGGCCCACGCGGCGCGGCGGCCGGTCGGGTCTGCAAAGGTCCGGTTGCACGGTCCCAACTGCTGGCTGGACGGTCCGAACTGCTGGCTACATTGTCTGAACTGGCTGCACGGTTCGGCGGACTCGTGTAGTCCGGCCGCGGGTAGTCCTGCTGGCTGGCTACGTACGTGGTCCAGTCAACCGCGTGTAGTCCTCCTGCTGACTGGCTACCTGGTCCGGCTACGTGTGGTCCCACTGCCTGGCTACCTGGTCCGTCTAGCCGCGTGTGGTCCCCACGGCCGGCTTCACAGTCCAGCTGGTTTCACGGTCCACCCTGGGTCCGGCCGACCGCGTGTGGTCCCGCCGGCTGGTTAGGTGCCCCGGCGGGCGCTGAGGGTCTGGACTAGTGATGTCAATTACGGAAAATCGGAATACCGATACCAAACCCAATACCAACCAAAACCACGGGAAAATACCGAAACCAAACCAACTTGGGAAACTGAGGGAAATACCAACTTTTTACCGATTTATTAGCCTCTTATACATTAGTGAGGGCTTATGATACAAACAAAATACCAAACACATTACGATTGAAATACCCAATACCAAGTTGGTATCGGTTTGGTATCGGTATACCAAAAAGTTGGTATCCGATTGACATCTCTAGTCTGGACTGCCCGGCTGCATGGTCCTGCCGGCTACTCGTCCCGGCCAGCCGCGTGTGGTCCGGCCGCGCCGGCCGGCCGTTAATCGGTCCATTAGCCCACTGAGCCGTGTGCGGTCGGCGGTGCGGTCAGCCATGCGGTCGGTCTGACGCCGCTCGGCGCCGGCTATTAAATAAGGCTGGCTAAAAACAGGCATGATATCAAGTGCCGCGTCAAATAACTTCTTCATGGGCTGTGTGTGTTCGTTTTTCTGCGCGGTCGAAAGGCTGACAGCGGCCGAGGCGTCCGTCAGTGACGCTGCCTGGGACTGTATGTAATGTGTAATACCTCCTCTCTTGCTCGACAGGTATCTGCAGTGTGTGGCCACTCACATGGAAGGCCTGAAGCCGTTCCGCGACGTGCCGGCCAAGCTGACCCAGCAGCTGAAGCGCTCGTTCGTGGCCACTCGCACCCTGGTGCAGAGCCTGCACACGGGCCACGAGGTGGTCAACCGGCTGAAAACGGTGAGCGCTGCGCGGTGTGGGTCGGTGCAGCGGCGCGCGGCGCTGCAGTGTGTCACTCAGCGCCGCCGCTCCCTGCCGGTCACAGTGGGTCCCGGCCGGCGCCCTCACACCCGGCCGGCGCCCTCACACCCGCCCGACGCCCTCACAGTCACAGCCGACCGCCAGCGGCTGTCTCCCGTCACAGCCTGGCCCGTCAGATACTCACGTTTTACGTTTACTGGCCCGTCAGATCCCCACCATGACGTTTATCCAGCCCGACACATCCCACCATGACGTTTACCCGATCCGTCAGATCCTCGCCATGACGTTTACCCGATCCGTCAGATCCTCGCCATGACGTTTACCCGATCCGTCACATCCTCGCCCGCCGCTGAGCCCGGCCCTTTACATGATCTGAGCGGTCCCTGCCGCCCTACCCCGACACGCCACATCCTTTTCTCGTCTGTCCTCAGATTTAATCATAGATCGCAACCGTCCTTTATCATTCCATCCCATCTAAATCATCACATCCCTCCCAATCGCCCCTCACCCACCCTCTCTCACCCTTCTCCTCTGTTCTCCTTCTCGGCTCCTCCCTCCTTTCTCTCTCTCCCACGCACTTGGGGTAGCAGACTGAGGAATGAACCTCTTCCCCGGCGCCACGTAATAAAAATACACAGACGCGAGGGCAAAAACGACAAGTGCCAAATCATGGGAGCCAAAGAGCGGTGCGAACAAAAACGGCCAATTAATAATTAATGGGGCCCGATCGACTTGAGTAGGTGGTGGGCCTGCCCTCGCCTCCCCTCCCCGCCCCCATTCCGGGGATATCAGCTGGCGTTGGTATGTGCACTTATTCTCTGACCTTTCTTGTCTTCAGCGTGCATGACTTTTTTCAATTTCAAGTGTCGTCACCTGGCTCATGATTCATACCGAGCATTTCATCGACCCGGCAAGGTCAAGGATGAGGTTTCGACGTGTGGCCTCTAACGCCAAAAATCAAGCTGTTGCCCACCATATTTCATAGCCCTTCCCCGGTAACTGACGAGTGGCCGTGCTCCCCACTTTGTTGCTTTGTCTGCTCCATAAACTGACGCTGTTCCCCGTACCCCCGCCAGGTGACGGTGACCCCGTCGTGCGGCCGGGCGATGACCAAGATGGCCCAGTGTGGCACGTGCAGCGGCATGCCGCGAGTGAAGCCCTGCCACGGCCTCTGTCTGAACGTGGCCAAAGGCTGCCTGGCCTACCACAGCATGCTCAACAACCACTGGCACGAGTTTATCGGTGAGTGACGCGGAAGCGACCTTAATGTTGGCAAATGTGCTTCATCAGGTCTTCTATCAAGGGTTGGAGGACATCACTAGCGTTCAACCTTTGGTCCCTAAATGAAAATAACGACAACTTTGATTGACAACCATAAAGTACCGCACTTATCATTTGTTTCTGTACAATATGGAATAGAATCGCTGTCAATTGGTACGTTGGCGTGAAACGAAGGAACACGTCATCGATGTCTGACACTTTGGGTCCGTGGAGCTGCCAATTCGCCCCCCCCCCCCCGTCACCGTCCGCCGGGACGGTCCTATGACTCAGTCGACGGCGCCGTCCGATAGGATCTCCGCGGCTGGGGAGACGCTCCCCGTCCCTGTCAGGATCCGCTGCAGCAGCACACGCTCCGACTAACCCACTCCGTGCTGCAGCCACGCGCCGGTTCTGGAAAATTTCCAACGTGGAGATAGTCAGTGAACCAGACGAGCTGCGTGTGCCGTGTAGGTCATAGGGCGCGGCTGGATATGTTCTCACTCGATACAGCAATTTGTGGTACATGGACATGGCCGCTGTCCAGCGGCGTTATCTTTGATTGCGTCCCTCCTGTACTGTACGGTCTGTTTGTTTGCCCGGCCGTCGGCCGGTGGTGGGTGCCGCCGGCCCGGCTGGCCGGGCCCGGAGTCGGCTGTGCGCGGCGCGGCGGATAAACAGTTGACACGGAGCGAGGACGCGGCCGCACGCCTGTTTACCCGGCCGGTAATCACAGCAGGCGCTGCTGCCCCGCCGTCCGGAGGGGGCAGTCGGCTGCTGCAGTCCCACCGCCGCTGCTTCCCACGGGCTGCTGTTGCTGCCCCGCCGTCCAAAGGGGATAGTCGGCTGTCCCACGGTCGCTGCTATCCTGTCCCACAGTCGCTGCTGTCCCACGGGCTGCTGCTCTGCTGCGGTCCCACAGCTGTTACCACGGGCTGCTGTCCCACGGCCACAGGGCCACTACTACTACCCTCTCCCACGGCTGCTACTACCCTGTCTCACGGCCGCAGCCCGAGGCGCTTTTTCTCGTCTCACGGGTACAACTCACACAGAGCTGCTACTAACCCTACTGCCGCTACTTTCCTGACCCAAGGCTGTTGCCTAGGCCGCTGTTCAAGTCCCCTTTTCCACAATCCCACAGCCGGGGTTAGCCGGGCAGCCAGCGGTGTCCATCATTCTTCGTGTACCCGACTCACAGCGATGACTCAGAGGGACGCCCCCTCCCCTAATGCCCTTCACAAGGATTTACGGCGATGGCTGTGTAGCCGGCAACCGCTTTGAACGCCATTATGGCCGCTGATGCGACTAGCGATACGCTTGTTAACGCTGACTCAAATGTCGAAAGGTTAGGACTTACCCGATCGATCGCACAAGGCTACTACTGGCGATATTCTGGGGAATTTTACTGAATGTCGCTAGGGTGGGAGTTTACCAGCGCGATCAAGTCGGCCGTGGTGCGGCGGCTGAGGTTTGCCTGTCTGTCGACAGATGGCGTCAGTGACTTGGTAACTCGTCTGGAGGGCCCGTTCAACATCGAGTCGGTGGTGAATCCCATCAACGTGAAGATCTCGTACGCCATCATGAACTTCCAGGACAACGGTTTCGACGTGTCACGCAAGGTATGCAGTGTGGCGGGTCGCACCGGGCCAGGGGCACCCGTTGCCGGCCGGCCGGGCGTTATAGTTTGCTGTCTGTTCTGCTCCGGCTCACAACTCACAAGCCTCTGGGCGGCATGCGAGGGATGTGTGTAGCTTTGTTGGTTTTTATTTGCAAGCTCGTTTGATCTGAATCTCGCGGAGTTTATGTTTCTTTTAGAAGCCGAATAAATATTAACGTTCAATCCCTCCGCGCCCACCCTCCCCGATTTCAGCTGCGGTGACCTCGCAGATATTGCGGTCGAGATGAAAGGTATATTCCATCCGACGGACATGTTTAGTCCAGCGGCTCGGTTGTAGCCACGCTAACCTCTCCTCTCGTCTCTGCAGATTTTCGAGGGCTGCGGGGAGCCCAAGCTGCGGCGCCGGCGGCAGGCCGGCGGTGACGCCCCCTCCTACGACGCGCCCGACTTTAAGAGGGTTCAGCTGCAGACGTACTCGGACAGCGGCATGGACGCCGAGCCCTCGCCGCTGCTGCGCGTCCTCGGACAAATCCGCAGTCGGGTGAGTGCTCTCGACGTTCTTGAATCGTTTTTTGGTATAGCGCTTCGAGTAGGAAACTCTGGCCAAATGTGAGTAAAAAGAGAACTGCAGCTTGGTGCTGTTTTATACCCAAATGTTTCATTCCTAGCACACTGTTGATTCGTATTCACAAGCCAATCTTTTCACATTACAGGCCACAGCCTGCCGTGGTGCTACGAGTGTCAGTCTGCGGACCACGATACTGGCCATACCCGACTATGTAGCTATCTGACTCTGTATCTGTGTATCTGACTTGTGTCCCTCGTCCTCAGGTACGGCCGCTGAAGACGTTCTGGTACGACCTGCCCGGTCAGCTGTGCAATGACCGCGACCTGGCCGCCCCGCCGGCCCGCATTGTCAACTGCTGGAACGGCACCGCCAAGTACCGGTGAGCTGTCGGAACTAGGTGCTAAACTAGTCTCTGTCTAACAGTGTCTGTGTATGTGTGTGTATAACTAGGATAAACCTAGTTGGTAGAGCAAATCGGGCTGAGACGGCCGCGGTTGTGTCGTTGGTAGTTTGTAGCACCGTACTGTCGGCTGGCTGGTAGGCGCCTTGAAGTGTTGTCCTCTCCCGAGTCCCTGGGGCGCTCGAAGAGTGTTACCCGGTGTGAGCGCCCTCTGTGTTATACCAGTGATGGCAGGGTAGGTATGCCCGACTGCCTGGTGTCAACCCCTTTCGATACTCGATCGGGTTTGTAGAACGCTAGTCCAAACATATTAAAACATATTACCCAAAATGCTTTTGAATGAATTCGTCTGAGGGAACATGTTCTTGTTGTGTCTTGGGTTTTATGTTGCTAAGGCCGAGGTGTTCCCGCTCTTACCCAATTTTTCAAAATATTTATACAGGTATGCAGGCGTGTTTCGTTGTAGCCCCGCTGGAACCCCGTTCGGATGCCATCGGTCGCTCGGGCCACCCGGTCCCAATGCCTGACGCTACCTCTGTCCCTCCCTGGCTTGCTCTCAGGTACGAGCACGCGGTGACCAAGGACGGTCCGGAGGCGCTCTCCGCCAACCCGGAGGTACCGTTCGACCCGCTCTACACCAACTCGGACGTCAATGAGGCCATCCTGGATCTGAAGCGCGCCACGATGCGCCTGCGGGACGCCTACAACGGGCAGACTGTCACATGGGAGCAGCCTGGTCAGTGTAGCGGGAGGGTAACAGTGGCGCACACCCGGGTGCAGTATACCGATAGCACAGTGGCTCACACTAAGGGCTCATTGTACCGCCAACAGCGTTTGACACTCGAATTCAGTATACCGACAGCACGGTGGCTTACATCCGGGCTCAGTCATACAGCCAGCTCTGCAGTACATCTGGGGTAGCATCAGTAACCACCACCACTTCTGCAGCCCACATCTGGCTAGATCTTGCCTTGTCGAGTAGTTGGTTGGGGCGGTGCCCGGGCCGAGTTGTTCGTTCTCCGTCGTGTAGTGTGGCGACATGTCTGATACCCGTGTGGCAAATGGCTGCCCGCCCGTCTGCGTTACCTGAGGTATCCCTTGGTAATGGTCCGTCGGTGTTACCTGTGTTACCCCTGGCTGTCCGTGTGTGTTACCTGTTGACCCCTGACTGACCGTCCCACAGCGTGCTGACGTCCTGTGTTACCTGTGTTGCCCTGGCTCATGGCTGTCCTGTGTGACGTCGTGTCTGTTTCCCCTGACTGACCGCCCCCCCCCCCTGATCACAGAGTCGTCGTCCGACGCTCACGGCGTGCCGCTGGAGGCCGGCTCCGGCTCCGGAGACGGCGCCGGCTACGACGTGGACGCCGAGATGGACGACGACGACTACGACAGCCTGGAGGGCTCCGGCGGACGTGTGGCCGACTACGGCGACTATGACGACGAGCCGACCGGTGACGGCGACTTTGGACGCGGTTCAGACCTCGACAACGACTACGGAAACAACCTGGACAACACGGTCGACTTCGAGACGGTGGAGGACACCAATCGGCTGCCGGACTCGACGGCCGGCGACGGCCTGCCGAGCGGCGCACACCGGCCCAGGATGTCCTTCGCGCGCGCTGTGACCATCCTGGTGTGTCCCACGCTGGTGGCCTGGATAGGCACGTTCATCTAGCGCGTGGGACGGGCTGTAGCGGCGATAGGCTCTTTCATGCAGCGCGGCGCGTCCTGAGCGCGGCAGGCGGCCGTCGGCCCGGCGCGTCGGCCCCTGCAGCCGCCGAGGACGGCCCATCTAGTCTGAGCGTGTCCGGGCGCCGCCGGAGCCGGACCGGACCGGAGCGGGCGCGGCGCGGCCGCTGGCCGCCCACGCCACAAGACCGGTGATATTAGAATCAAGAGACGTACGAGCTAAGAGGTGGCCCTCGCCCCGCCCGCGGTGCGCCTTTGCGAAGCAGCAGGGTTCGGCACGCGCCGTGGGTGTCAGTGTTTGAGTTGTATTTTTTTACTTTTACATGTGACCTGTTTACAATCTTTTTCAATCATTGAATGTAACGAGAGATTCTGGGGTTTCTTACCTTCATAATTAATCCGAAGCAGTTCCATTTTACATGGCCCAATTTATCGTATTATTTATTGTGTGGTCTGTCACTATCTCCGGCGCGAGGTTAGCAGGCTGTGTGTAGCTCGAGCTGGCCGGTCGCCGCTGGCCGGCCGGCCCCTGACCGACACTGACCCATAGCAATAGGGGCGCCACCCGGGCCTCCTCCTGTATGTCTGTCTGTGAGTGGGTGTGTCTGCGTGTGTCTCCATACGCCCGAGCGGTCTGTGCGGCCCGCTGTGCCCGCACCTGGGGACTCGACACGCCGACAGCGGCCCTGACCGCCGCCCGGTCGACTATATCGCTTCTAGCGGCCGGGTCCGCACAACTGATGTACATAGCGACCCGCAGAGACATATGTGTATTTATATACAGTGCGACGACTGCCCCGGCGCCCGTGGGCCCCAGAGCTGGACCATGCTTTACTTGGACTCGACGCACTATCAGCGCTGTGTGTGCTTAGTTCGCGATGCGTGTTTTGTATGGCGTTGCCACTTTTCGGGAGCTAACGAGTTTTGTGCCAAATCTGGCGTGCGACGCTAGTGACGCGCGCCACCTGCCATGCATTTAGTTCAAGCGACGCCGCGCGACTAATCACGATCAGCGGGAGGGTGTTTTGTATCATTGTGCGACTGATGGTGAATATATGTCTGATGTGACTGTGACTGTCAACAGTGTAGGTAGTCGTTTAGCGAGGGCGGAAGGATGGGTCAGCGCCCAGCACAGTGTGTCTTACGGTGGGATACAGAATTGCAAGGCACAATGATGAAGGAGATGTGAGTTTGTGGTGCGACTACGCTGCCGTTCGGGTTTAGAGGACGTAGGGTATGGGTCGGTGCTATGGCGGTATAGCTGGGGTCTAAACTAACTGAGACTGAAGATGGTACTTACCGGTGCAAAGTCTCTGCCGTTGGGGTTTATAGGAAAGGGTACACGTAATATGGCCAAAAGCCTTTGGGTTACGGAGAAGCCAGGCCTGTAGTCATCTCTCATCCGAATCTGGTTAACTTCGCCAAAAAGAAAGCTGTGTCTTAAAGCGCTGTGTATTTAGAATTTACTTCCTTCCGATACATTGAACCATACGAGACTTCTCAAACAAGCTAGGACGGTGGCTTAGTCTGCGGCTAACCACCCTCTATGCATTGTCCGTTGCTAACTGGTGGCTGTCTTTTACAGCTTGTCAGCCGGTGGTAATTGTCTGTCTATAGTTTGTTGCCAGCCGACTGCGAACCGCCCCCTATGCTTAGTTCGTTTTAGCCGGCGGATTAGGCCGTCATCTTTTTAGTTTGTTGCCAGCCGGCGGCTTACCGTCTTCTAAGTTTTTTATTTATTTTTTGCCGGCCGGCGGACACAATGCAGCGCTCGATAGCGCCGTCCGAGCCTCGCTGGTAAATGCACCAATTATGGTACGACGGTTATAGGGATCAGAGGATCTTGGTCTACAAATACAGAGCCAGCACGATCTCGTGGCATAAACACTTTCGTCCCAACGGACGCTCCACTGCGTCAGGAGTCAGGATCACAACGGAATGAACGAATCACTTCACTTCGCTCCCGAACCAAAGAAACATGCACCTCGCCGACATGCATCGTCATTGGTGGATGAAGAGGAGAACGAAAAGACTCGAGAAGACTGCGAGTATATTACATCACTGGGCTACTCAATCTCACGTTGACTTACTGCCTCATTGATGTAAACTGTCGCGTTAGTGCCAATGTGAGCACACTGGGGGGCAGTGAAAAAGCGTCACTTTGAAACAGCAAGCATATCATAATCGTTTTCCGCTGCTTCACTCTACCCATTGCTCACTCACCCATTCACTCACTCCATCCCATTGTTCAATCAAACTTATGTGAATGGCAATGCATTAATTAAGCGATAAGATAACAATGCTTGAACGTTTTCTGAAAAGTTTGCTAGAAACACTCTACTCAATCGCGTTGAGAAAGAGCAGATATGGACTTCCGCCGGTAAATCAGTCTGTAGATACACACCTACGAGTCTGTAGTCAGTAGATACACAGCTCAGCGCAGACAAAATAACAAACACCCGGTCGGCTCCGCCGCGCCGGAAGTCGATCGTCTCCTGTTCAGCGGGTGTTTTCGTACAGGTTCTCCTGTTGTTCAGTTTCCTCTCGGATGGAAGTGTCCCCAGCCTGGTAGCGTCTGCGGGGCGCCGCCTCGGGCCGGCGTACCGAGGAGCGCTGCAGGCCCGGCAGGTGGCTGCGCCGCTTCAGCAGGTAGCCAGGCTCGGCCTCCTGTAACGAGCAGCGGGCCGGGGTAGGTGAGAGACACGCGGTCTGTAGCTGGGACGGCGTACAGCGGACAGTCTTTATAACATAGGCCCTTATGGAGCCTTTCAGTGCGCCGCCAGCGCGGCGGTGCAGCGGACTGTAACGTCGCCAGTCTACGCCCGTAAACGTACTTACATACCTCGTTATTGGCGTCTGCGGCAGCGGCCGCTTTGGTGATTGATCCGAGCTCCACGGTTCCTGGAGCAGACTCCTCCTTCGCTCCTTTGGCTTCAGTCTCCAGCTCCTCTTGAGCTGCAATTTCAACACCCGCTCAAAACCTAACCCCATGATCTGTTACGGCCATAACAGCATAACATCAACGCTCAAAATAGTTTCACCTCAAGTAGTTAGATATGGAAGAAGGTAACGTAAAAGAGGAAATAAAACCAGCCTGGCACGGCTAATTTCGGCTTCGTTCTTTTATGGCTACTTTGTTTCGCTGTCGGTGACGCACGTACTGTAGTAGTGCTCCTCGTAGTCCTGCAGCGGGTCGACGCCGAAGAAGTCGGTCAGGTACTCCGGGTACCGGATGTCCATGAAGATCATCGTCAGGCCCACCAGCAGACAGAAGATACCTGCCGCAAAAATGGCAAACATGTTACGGTAGGCTTACTGGATTCATTGCCGAGTTTGGCCCTTGGTGGCTAGAAATGTGCTAAATTATTATGAAAATAATATGAGATGTGGTGGACCGACACGATAACGGAATATCGTCACACAAAATAATTAGGTACATATAAAAACGCGTTACGATGTACATATACATCTTACATTTAACAGACTTTGCAACTGGTTATCGGTGATCAAATTTGCGTTGTGAGTTTCTCTTCCGATGAGTTTTTTTTATTTCCTTATTTTATGTTGATGTATGTACTTACATAGGTGCCTACATCAAATGGAAATTCCGCTTTTCACTCCATCGACCAATAGCCAAAACTCGATCGGAAGTGCGATTACTCTGCAACATCTACATTATTTGGGGACATAACAATCACAATTACTGTTTACGTCTAAAAAGATTCTGCGTCTCAATTTGTCTTTAGGAAATGCACGTCCTTCAAAGATGAGTAAACGGCATTGCGGCGCAGCATAGTTGCAGGCGTTCTGCTACTGCCATCTAGCGTCCATATATGACAATGGTCATTGCGGCACAGCATAGTTGCAGGCGTTCTGCTACTGCCATCTAGCGGCAAAATATGACAAGTCATTGCGGCACAGCATAGTTTCAGGCGTTCTGCTACTGCCATCTAGCGGCAAAATATGACAAGTCATTGCGGCACAGCATAGTTTCAGGCGTTTTGCTACTGCCATCTAGCGGTAAAATATGACAAGTCATTGCGGCACAGCATAGTTCAGGCGTTCTGCTACTGCCATCTAGTGGTAAATCCTGAAGATAGCGGTCACTGCGGCACAACATAGCTACAGGCGTTTTGCTCCCGCCATCTAGCTGCAAATTATAGCAATTCGCCTTGCTACACACTACACAGTATAGCTTCAGGCGATTTGCTACTCCTATCTGGCGTCAAAATGTGAAGGTGCTAATCGTTGCGGCAAAATATTGTTTGGGCGCCTATTTCGTAACAACGTAGGCAATGATAAGACATGGAAAATTAGCATGCATTAAGTTTACAAAGAACCCATGTCGCTGATATAAAGAAAGTTTTCCCAGAATACGGCATATGATTCAAGCCACTCGGCGTGAATACTAGACTGCAATAATTGCTCAAACACACCTTAAGAAATTAGTTCAAAATAAACAATCCGTTGTAAGTGCCTGAACCGTAAAGACAAAGGAAAAGACATTTACGTAAGCGATGTAACGCGTCTTTTTGGCAATCTCTCTCTCTCTCTCTCTCTCTCTCTCTCTCTCTCTCTCTCTCTCTCTCTCTCTCTCTCTCTCTCTCTCTCTCCCCTCACACATAGGCGGCGAAACGGGGAGGGCACCGGGGCACCGTGCCCCCATTTGATTTTGGCATTTTAACATTAGCCCTATGGGCGTTGCATGGAAAGAATGGGACCAAAAGTCAGCGGTGCCCCCCCCCCCCCCTTAATTGAAGATGTTCCGCCGCTGCTGCCCTCACACAAACACACCGTTGATGAGGGTGAGATAGAAGTGTGCCCCGAAGTGGGTGCGCAGGACGCCCTCCTCGAACGGCACCACCAGCGGCACGGGGTTCCTGACGGCCGCCCAGATAATGCAGGCGATTATCTGCAGCAGGCCCGTCATCATGGTGAACAGCGCCGCGTACCGCAGCACCATGAATTGGAAGATGTTGGCCAGCAGGTAGCAGGGGAACGCCGCCCTGTGGGTAGAGGTGGGTGGAGAGGCGGTTAGTGGTGGCCGGTTCGTCAATACGGGACGTGGAATACAGGGGACAGACGGGGCACGGGGAATAACACGGAACACGGAGATACTGCACGGTGAACACCGGCCTAGTATCTGACTGACACCGACACATCATAATCATTTAGGTATCTGATATTCAGCTATTGGCGGCATTCAATGATATGGGCCCCAACGATCGTACGCTCAACGTAATTTTTCCAGCATCTCATCAACAGACGTAAAAGTTCCGACCATTTACGCTGGCGTGCGGAGCGGGTGCGCGCCCGACGGTCACTCACCAGATGAGGATATGCGCGTACCATCCGGCGCGCATGTAGTGCCTCCCGAAGCGGATGCCCTCGCCGTCAAAGGTGAAGTACTCGGCCACCCAGAGGATGGGCAGCGGCGCGCCGCGCTGCTGGGCGCGCCGGAAGTCGCGCTGGATCTGTCCGGCTGTGGCAGATAGAGGATCAACACCGACGGAGAGGCGGCGCAGTGCGCAGGCGAATGTCTTATAATTTCACCTGTCCCCTGCTCTACAGGCATCCCCATTGTCAACTGTGAGCTAGGCGCAACTATACCCGTTTACCGATTAAAAACTATGTCCGACGGTTCAACGGTGCATTTACCGATTCGCACCGTTAGCCATCTTCCCTTATCAATAACAAAACATTTGTGCGATGAAGTGCGTTACTTGTAACAATGTTGAAACGGACGAACGGAGTAGAGCGGTCATCGCCGTTAATTAACTCACCGAATGGGCCGAACCCGTTCCGTCCCTGACCCCAGCTCCACCAGAAGCGTTCGTTGTAGTTGATGACCTCGCCTTTCAACTCCATCGGAATGTGGCCCTGGTCAACTGTGGAAACAGAAAACATTTCATTATTGCTGTATATCTGCCGTAGTATCCACTTTAACGTGGCAAAAGACAATTAATGCTAATGTTTTTTTTTATTTATGACAGAGTTTCTTACTATCTCAATTGCGTATTTTCTGTGTCATATTTAACATTTGCCACTCGCACTATTTCCCGAAGGAGTTCTACGAGCTGGCCACTGCTCCGAGTTCTTACCGTAGAGGGTGACGTTGACGCCACGCAGACCGAGCTTCATGCCCACCTCGGCTCCCTCCAGCTCGGCGCTCGTGTACGCCTTGTACGGCGTCCTCGTCTTCAGCGTGGCCACCTCCCACTCCATGCCAAAGTTGCCCACTGGGGAGACATACGGTATACACGGTGACCACCTTCCAATCCATGCCAAAGTTACCCACTGGGGAGACATACGGTATACACGGTGACCACATTCCACTCCATGCCAAAGTTACTCACTGGGGAAGCATACAGTATACACGGGACCACCTCCCACTCCATGTGCCAAAGCTGCCCACTAGGGAGGCATACGGTATACACGGTGATGGAAGCAGAACAGCATCAAAAACAGATATCTCATGCCCATTGGTTTCAGACGCTACCGTCATCAAGCGATCCTGTAAAAATACACTTGCGTAAAGAAGACCGTTTTCTAGGCGCTCGGGGCCCTGATTGGATTTCCCACGGCTTTCCATCGTACTCACACATAAGAAGCAGTCCAATGATAATGCTGGCAGTCACACGAACCAGCACAAAGAAGCGCTGCAAAATATAAGTATAGTTGGACGGACATGTAAGTACATACAGTGCACATAATCTCATATTTTGTTTTTAAAAAATCACGATATAGGGTAATACGGCCAAGACGTAGGACCAAGAGATCATAACCCATTATTTCGTTTTGTCGAGAGGTCCAGGATAAACGAGCATCCATCCGTCCCAGAGCACTCACCCGTTTGCCTCTGAAGCCGGGCAGGATGACCAGGAAGCTGGCGAATAAGATGAGGAAGGCGAATATCCAGCCGGCCTCGACGGTGTCGGCCGTCACCGGCGTCTTGTTGGGAGCGAACAGGGAGGGAAAGCCCTCTATTCGGCTGAACTCGTACAGGCCCATGATGCCGGAGACCCTGAGAAAATCGGTAAATGGCTGATACCTTTCCCCGACCAAATTTTTGAAATGTCATTGCTGTAAAACTAAAATCATCATGCCTATAGACAGTGGACACAAATCTTACTCGGCATAACTCGACCAATGTGCTTACTGGATATGAGTCCAGCTCGACCCAAACAAGGCCAGCTAAAGACCGACTCACCTTGGGATGGCCGCGCTGGATTTCTGTAGCCTGGCTGCGCCGGTGTCGCTGTCGATGGTAGCTGGTGCGAGGGTCGGCCGACCAGTATACTGGCCGCTCGCCGGCGGCGGGGTGCGGCGCAGGGGACTGGTCGGTAGCAGAGACGAGACAGCGGTAGCCGACGGACGCTTCGCTATCTCTCCAGCCGACGACCGCACCGGAAACGTCGCGGCCAGGACGGAGGGAGAGCAGCGTCGGCGGTTGGGGAAGTTGGGACTCGGGGGGAGGAAACTGGACCGCAGACACTGAAATCGGGTATACCCACCGCCGAGGATGTGCGGTTAGTCTTATCATTCTTGGCCAGTGCCATGATGCAAGCTTCGAGTCTTCTAGTTCCAAACCTCGATGCACTGCACGATCTTGCATGCAAGCTGTAATTATAGAAGTGTGTCTGTCAACAATGAAATACAACGTAAAACATTTGGGACTATGAAAAAGTAAATGGTTGTGGTTTGCCTTTCAGTAGCCGGCTGTATCATGTCGTTGCTTCCCAGCACAATAATCAGCATTCAGTAAGATGGCCTTTGTAAGTAACAAGTATGTAAGTACTTACAAAGTAAACACCATGGAGCACGGCACCGCATGCGGTGTTTCTTTCGACTCGCCCAAGGCCATCTATAGAACTCGCCCAGCGCCTCCGGCTCCGCACGGCCGAGCATCGCCTCGGGGCATGTCACGTGACTAACGCCTGAGGGCCCGAGTCACGTGGTTGCTCAGAAAGCAGCAAGGTGACGGTGGGCGGTTCACTGAAGAATCATCTGCATGCTGAACAGGTGACATTTTACGCTCTTAGCTTTCAATTCTATTCGCGGAACCTGGTGTGTAGATATTGCATTATTGATAGTTGATGCGGAATATACATATAGCGAACTGAATTGAATGTGGCGTAGTTATAACCTGGCTATTGAGCATGGCGCATTGAAGTGGCTACTGGCTTCCTCTTCGTATTTGTGTTGTGTGACTGTGTCTGGCGTGGATAGGTTGTAACTGACTGATAAAATGAGCCCTTCGATGACGGAATCGTCATGGTTACGGAATGGCCACGAGTCATGACTGACTGACTTTGGGGATGTAGCATGTGAGATGGATTTGTCTGTCACTCTCACTGTCACTGACTGACGGACCTGCCTCGTGGCAGCTGTGAGATGTCTGCTGGCCGGCCGGCTATACTGGGGGCAGTATGGACCGTCCTGGACCGTCCTGCCAGTCCCAAACCGAGCCCGTCCACCGGACGCCGCCGCCTATCTGCCGGACGTGCAGTCTCGGCTCTGCGACGGCGGTCAGCCCCGCAGTTTCCCGGAGGACGGGGCGGGGTCAGGCGCGCCTATCGGCCGGTCACATCCTGCACAGTCGGAGCGGCCGTGCAGGGGCCGGAGCGGCCACTGGCTGACCGGGAGACACCGAGCCCGCCGCGCCCCCGTCTCCGCCGCTGTCCGAGCCGCTGGCTGCGAGCTGCAGGTGAGGTAACCTTTCAGACGCGACAAACCTTCTGTTTCAGCTGTCGGGCCGTGCCCTCACAGTAATATGACTGTGTTCTCACAGTAAATAACCGTTCTCTCGCAGTAATCTGACCATGTTCTCACAGTACTCTAACCGTGCCCTCAGTTATCTAATCGTGTCCTCACAGTTATCTAGCCGTATCCTCACAGTAATCTGACCGTGCGATCACAGAAATATGTGTTTTCGCAATAATTTGATCGTGTCTCCACAGTAATAAAATCATGCGCTCACTGACCGAATCATCTGACCGTGCCCTCCCAGTAAGCTGACCGTTCTCTCGCAGAAATCTGACCGTGTGGTCATAGTTATCTGACCGTATTCTCAGTTCTCACGGTAATCTGACCTTACTCTCGGTTTTCTAACCGCTTCGTCAGCTTTCTGACCGTGTCCTTACAGTATTCTGACCGTGTTCTAACAGCTACCGTGCACTCCTCAGGCCGAATCTGACGGACTTCGTGCCATTTTACGCTTCTCACTGTCCCTGTGTGTCCGGACCTGACGGTCCCACGGGACAGCGATGTCCGGACAGTCCCACGGGACAGCGCTGTCCGGTCGGACAGGAGCGCGGTGGGCCGCTCTGCTGGTACTGTTAGTCACCGTGGGGACATCCACCGCTCAAAGAGGTCAGTTCGGCTGTCTGGGAAGGAGGTATCTCATGGAATCTGCTGTCTTCTGCCATAAATCCTGCGGATGAACGAAATAGACGCATAGAGACGGATAGAGATAAGGAGATCGAACGTGTCTAGAAAAGTGTATCGAATATATCCCACTACCACGTGTGGTGTATATTAACGGGTAAGCGTATCGCATGCCATGGCAGGTGTGTCGTATGTGTCGTCTGACTCGTGTGTCGTGTCTGTCTGCGCCTCCTGCAGCCAGTAAGCCGACCAGCTCCCAGTGGGTGACCGGCCCGAGCCGGGACAACAAGCTCGGCCTGCTGCGCTGGCTGCTGGACGGCTGCGAGGGCGGCGACGACTGCCAGCCGCAGCCGTACCGCCACGTCGAGTACGAGGGGTACGACGGCTGGTACAATAACTTCGCCCATCCGCAGCTGGGAGCCTCCGGTGAGTCCGTGCAGTTCTGATCTGCCGGTGAGAGTGGCAGTGGAGAGACCTCTGACTCGATCGGTCTGGAGACTGATCCGCCACCGGCAGGGTATTGTGATCAGTCCGCGGAGTCCATGAGTTTTTAGTGACTCCGACTCCGACTCCGGCTTAAAAACAACTCCGACTCTGACTCTGACTCCGGGCAGAACTATCGAGTCCGACCGCCCTTAACTCCGACTCTGCAGCACTGCCATGGGTCTGCAGAGTCGATGGATTTTAGGTAACTCTGACTCCGACTTCGGCTCAGGTTTCCAAAGTTGACTCCGACTCCGGTTAGAACTGTCGACTCCGAACGACTCCAACTCCAATGCCGACTCCGACTACGCAGCCCTGCTTGTGATCCACCCCGCGTCTGACGATGCTATCCAGTGACCTAGCGCCACGTTTAGCGATTGCCCCCTGACATAGCCCAGTACTTCCGACCGTCCAGTGACTCAGCCCGCGTCCTCCTCTGCAGCTCTGTGACTCAGCAATCTGTTTTCCCTCCGCAGAGATGCCGCTGCTGAGGAAGCTGCCCCCGGCATACGGCGACGGGACGTACGAACCATCCGGCGCACTGCGTCCCAACCCTCTGAACATCTCTGAACAGCTCATGTCCGGGCCCAACGGCAACTTCTCAAAGACCGGCAAATCGGCGCTGCTCGTCTTTTTCGGTCAGTGGAAGGCTCACTTTTGAGGCGCACTAGAGACTTTATATAGCTCTCATTTGTATGTTGACTTGTGTATTTGTAGATGTCTGTGGGTATGGGTGTCTGCGTCTGCGTAGTTTGACGAAATCCCCTCGGATGCGCCGCTCCCAGGTCAGCAGGTGGTGGAGGAGATTCTGGACGCCCAGCGGCCCGGCTGTCCGCCCGAGTATTTCAACATCCCGATCCCGGAGGGTCACCGGTACCGGCGCGAGCCGGGCCACACCGAGCTGCCGTTTGTGCGCTCCCGGTACGACATGGCCAACTCGGGCTTCTCGCCCAACGCGCCGCGACAGCAGGTGGGAATTGAACACACAACAACAACAACAACAACAACAACAACAACAACAACAACCAACACACGCACACACACGGTCTCACTGCTGGAGATAGGTGTTAGGTAACTAGTTAATAAAGCCCGATCAGCTGTGCCTGTCGTGTTTAGTTAGAAGAACCTGCAGATGTCGGCAGCGTGGTAGCGAAATAGTCTGCAGTGTACGCTGCCCCATCCCGGTCAGTGTCCGCTGACTGGTCTGCTGACAGTGTCCAGAAAGTGTCCGCTGAGTGTCCGCTGACCCGTCCCGGCCCGTGTCGGCAGCTGAACGAGATCACACCGTGGCTGGACGGCGGCCTGACGTACGGCACCACCAAGGCGTGGGCGGACGTGCTGCGCTCGTTCGCCAACGGCACGCAGGCGCCGGACGGCCTGCTGGCCTGGAGTGACGAGCCGTACCGCGGCTTCCCGGAGCGGAACGCCGTGCGCCTGCCGCTGGCCAACCCGCCGCCGCCCACCCAGCACCAACAGTTCACGGCGCGACACCGCACCGCGCCCGTCAACCGCTTCTGGAGTGAGTGACGAGTGCTGCTGAGTGCTGAGTGCTGAGTGCTGAGTGCTGAGTGACTCCCTGTCCCCGCGGAGACACTCCCGATCGGGGCACACGGCTCCGTCCGTACTGACGGCACGGGACGACTGGCGTCTGCCAACGACGCGACTCCCCCGCACTTACGGTGACAGATTCATAGGATTCCAACACACTCATTGGTTAGACAATTTATGCTGACGCTTCGAAAATTGACAACGTCAAGTTGCGGACGATAAATTAGTACAATGTATATGTCCGGTGTTTGGGGAATGGACTATACGGCCTGTCAAAGTACCCGTTCGTTGAAAAGACGGCGTCCAGCTGACCGTGTACCTATTTGCGGGGGATGCTCACTGACTGGTCGCGTCTGATTTCAGTGCTGGGTAACCCGCGCGGCAACGAGAACCCGTTCCTGCTGACGTTCGGAGTGATGTGGTACCGGTGGCACAATCACGTGGCCGGATACCTGGCCAGCCAGCACCCCAACTGGTCCGGTAAGCACGCCAATCCCAGGGCTCCGATCCATCCAGCCAGGACACCATTCGAGTCGACTGATACGAAAAAGTTCTCACCTGGTAAACGTAACTTTTAAACTTAAATAAAACGTTACTTTAAACTAAACATTTTAAAGTACGAACTTTTGTTACGAATTTATACGAACTTTTTATAAGTAATGTCATGTGTAATTTAGAAAATGTAGATATAATGTAATGCCGTTTCACTTATAATGTCAATGGCCGTTTGTTGACTTAATTTGTAAAATGGACTCATAGCATAGGTAGCTCCCTTTAGAGGAGGCAAGCGGCTGCTGACAAGCTAGCGAAGTGCCGGCCTAGCGCGGTCTTTTTACCGTTCATTTGTGTCATATTTCAGGCGAGCGCGTGTTCAACGAGGCGCGTAAGTGGGTGATCGCGACCCACCAACACATCGTGGTGAACGAGTGGCTGCCGAGCTGGCTGGGCGCGTCCCTCGACCCGTACAGAGGTATGTCGTCGGCCTCCTATCCTTTTGTTATGAGGCGTGGAGTGACCGACTCTTTTGCCAATGCCCGAATGTAGACGGTGCGCGCAGTGCAGAATGCAGATGTCCTTATCAAAGTGAGAAACACGTCACGAGTAAACCATTAGATTTTAACGATGCTTGGTGAATATTTGTGTCAAAGCAAGGGATTGTTAAGCTTTCTAAATCTAAATTCATTTAATATGCTTGATAGGTAACCGCTTTTTTGCGGGTACCAAAACTCTGTGACCTCCGAAATCACACATGTGTTTCTTATTGTGCCGCTCTTTTGCAGGCTACGACGACTCTGTGGACCCGCAGATCACGCACGTGTTCCAGTCGGCCGCCATGCGGTTCGGCCACACCCTGGTGACCTCCGGCGTCTACCTGAGGAACTTCAGCCGCGAGGGATGCCTGACCGAGGGGTTCGGCTTTCTCACCGGCACCGACCGACACCGGATCAGCGGCGTGCGCACGTGCAACTCCTTCTGGAGGCCGCAGGTAGGCAGATACAGGGGCATACGCATATTTTGTCCGTGGCGAATATACGTGAACAATCGGAGCCACGGACGAGCACCGATCCTTCTCGAGTCATGGCACTTTGCTGTTCTGAGCTTTAACCCGCGCCCCACTGGGGGGGGGGGCTATTTATAGCCCCCCCTCCCGTTTTTCTGCAATAACTTCCAAACCGCTTGACGTATCGACGCCAAACTTTTAGTACCTTCGGCTGCATCAATTTGACACCTTGTGTCGAATTTTTAACTTCGTAGCTACCATAGGTCGGCCGGAAATGACGTCAGAGTGACGTCATGTTCGGCCGATTTCGACGCAAAACATTGAACCACGGCAATCGCTCCCAAGAGCTCAGTTTTTAAGCTAGATCCAATTTCTTTGCATGAGAGGACTCAGAATAGACTGCGCTATCAAACTGCTATCTCGGATTTTCGAAATTTTGAAAATTTCGAAAATTTGATATAATGAAATCCAAAATTTATATTTTTACATTTTTTTCAAAATGTTTTTGACTTTTCGAAACAAAACGGAATATATGTGATAGAACGCATTATTATGACTAACTCTAGCAAGTTTTAGCTAAATATCTTCAAAAATGGCCAAGTTTTACGCATTATTGCAAAAAATTCACAATTATTAATTTTTCAAATCAATTTTTCAGCACGTATTTGACATTGTACGCCAATATAAATAGCACCATCGTGTTCCTGAGCTCAAACTGCATCCAATAAACACCTTTTTTGTTGAAAAATTTTAACTTCAAAATTTGACCTTTTTTGACCTGAAAGTGACCTGACCTAAGCTAAATTCGACTCAAAATGACCTCGAATGACACAGAAGACATCACATTCGAAATCTCTGGCCTAAATGGACCATAAAACATGTGTCACGTGACCGACGCATGATATAATATTTTCGTGACCTGTGATGACCTGACCTTGACCTGAAAATCAAAGTACAAGTTTGGTACCCTCGGGGTATCTAGAGCATCTGTTCACGAGTGTGTGATCCAAAAATGAGCCTGATCTGACTTGTAAGACGGCGACCAGAGCCCAAAACGTGAACAAGCAAAATGCTAATAATTTTTACTTTGACCTGACCTGTGACGTCATCGGTGACCTCGAGGTGAATGAAATTAGGTTTCGCTCGACAGTTTTTCCGGGGCTATCAGACGCCGTTTGAATTTTGACGATCGGCCCAGTAGTTTCGGAGTTAGGAGGGGGGCTATGAATAGCCCCCCCCCCCCCCCAGTAGGGCGTGTTATACGCAGACCCCAGTGGGGCGCGGGTTAAGTGCTGCCGAAAATTTCATGTGGTGACATATAAGTAGTGACGAAAACATTGAATAAGTAACACGCACAGCGACGGCCTTTTCCCGGGTCCATATAGACTATAGAGGCACGATAGGTCGTGCCTGAAGACCTGCAAATGATGAACCTAATGAAACGTGCGCGCAGGCGCTGTCATGAATGAATCCTGGCTGGTGTTTCAGGAGCCGCTGCGGGAACATGATGTGGACCGAATGCTCATGGGAATGGCGCTGCAGTCCACCGAGCGCGAGGACAACATCATCGTCAACGACCTCAGGGGTGAGGCCAACAGCTCGTATAGTTCGTCAAAACAGCCTCTGTTTATACGGCAAATTGTGGAAACGCAATCGATGTGTTGTTAGATAAAACATCTAGCAATAATAAAGCTCGTATCTGTAACGTGGGATGACTAGCCCGTCATATACCACGTGCTCTGGTGACGGGTTATCACGATATGTGACATCTGCTGACGTATCCTCTGATGTGTTCTCTTCCAATGTGTCCTGACTAACTCTGCCGGTCGCAGGCGACGTGTTCGGACCGCTGGACTTTTCCCGCCGTGACCTGATGGCCGTGAACATTCAGCGGGGTCGCGACCACGGCCTGCCCGACTACCTGACCGCGCGCCACGAGTTCGGACTGCCTCCGGTGGACTTTGACAACTTCACCGCCATCACCGGCTCAGAGGTCGACCAGGAGGTCAGTCAGTGGCTGATGGAGTACCCAGTAAAGCTTCTGCATTAATGGATGTCATTCATGAATTCATGCCTATAACTGTGCTGCGATAGAAAATGACGTTGGTCTCACTATAAGAGAAATGCACAGTAAATGCTACATAAGAATTCAGTTATGTTAGTTTTGTTACAACTATTATAAGTGTGCTATATGTTACAACTCGTTGCATTGGAATAGTTGTCGGCTCCCATGGTCGGTGCTAGAAGAACAGACGGCCTGTAGTGTAGAATGTAGTGTGTACAGATGTGAGCGTCATGATGCGTCTTAATCCAGGACGTCGGCCTCGGGTGTGACTGCGAGTGTCCTGTCCGTGCTGCCTGTGATGATCATACGGCAGTGCCAACTCCGTGTCCACACGGGCTCCCTCTCCGCCCGGCTCTCTGACCGATTTCACTCTACCCGCACAGGTGATCAGCCGTCTGAGCGAGGTGTACAACAACTCCATGTCGAACGTGGACATTTGGGCGGGCGGCCTGCTGGAAACCTCGGACCGACCCGGCCAGCTCTTCTCTGCCATCATCCGTGACCAATTCACGCGTATCCGTAACGCCGACCGGTTCTGGTTCGAAAACAGACTGAACGGGTAAGCGACACAAAACGGCACGGTGAATCGTAAACGATGGACGGTAAGGGAAATAGCATGGGAAGCCATCCGTTTGCTGTTCATTCTGTCCCGTTTGCTGTTTGAAAATTGAGAGCCTTGGCGCAGAATCAGGCCAGGACCGTTGTTTGCATCTTTTAGCGATGTGTATTGTGTAGGTATCGTAAGTGCACATGGATGCAGAATTATATCCGGTTTCGTTGTTTCAGACGGTTTACCGACGAAGAGATTGAGCGAATCCGGCAGCTGACGATTTACGACATCATTATGTCTGTGACAGACATGGATCAAAACGACATCCAGTCGGATCCTTTCCGCATTCTCATGGCAGGTGAGGTAGAATAAAGCATAGAAGGGCATAATCTGCGGTCTCTGTTCTAAGAACACGCCATAATTCATCGTTATTATTGCTGTCACGCAGTGCAAAATATAGTATGCGACTATATTTAGAAAGTTCAGTGACATGTTGCGTATCTTTAAAGCATCCTTTTGTCATAACTTTGCCAATCTCCTTTTCTATGATCTGACAGCGTTTGGCCAAGAACACGCTGTACATAAATGAGTTGAAAATGGCATTTCATTTCCATCTCCAGGCAACGAGGACCTATCGGACAGCTGCCAGCAAGCGCTGGAGGACAGGATGCAGAATGCCACGTGTCGTAGCGGGCGCTCCACCGTTCCGTGTCGGTTCCTGTACCCGCTGGGCTCCTTCTCGGAGAATGTGGAGATCGAGGAGTGCTCCCCGGCGCGCACCTACGACTACTTCTCCGGCAGCGAGGCCTCGTTCGCGCTCACCTTCCTCGCCGCTTTCCTCGCCGTGTGTGGTAAGTGGGCAGCGAAATACGTATCTGCGGTAGAAGTGAATGTCGTTATTCAAAATCCATGCTAGAAATGTAAGTTTGTTTACATGCATATTTATGTGTATGTATGTATGTATGTATGTATGTATGTATGTATGTATGTATGTATGTATGTATGTATGTATATATGTATGTATGTATGTATGTATGTATGTATGTATGTATGTATGTATGTATGTATGTATGTATGTATGTATGTATGCATGTATGCATGTATGTATGTATGTATGTATGTATGTATGTATGTATGTGTATGTATTACGTATATGTGTAATGTATGTATGCATGACAGTATGTATGCGTGTGTGTATGCATGATGCATGCATGTTTGTATGTGTGTATACCTATATATGTGTGAGTGCATTTATGTGCATATGTATTGACATCGTGGGCATTTGCATACGGCTTAGCGATTACAGCCCGTCCTCCAAGGTTCGATGGATGCCGGCTGAGGACCTCATAGTGCGCTGATATCAGTAAATCCTATCGTAACTTCATATCGTGGCTGGATGCTCCTCCCCAGGACTGGTCGGACTTCTGATCATGCTGGCTCGCAGACGACAGAGACAGAACATGCCCAGCCGCGCCGCAAAGTCGGAGGTGGTGAAAAATGTCGGCCAGGGCATCGCCGTCACCGGTAAGGTGCTCTGCTGGATTGTCTGTGCCTTCCTATCACCGGTATATGTGTATAATGTTGATTCGCTATCATAAAATTGTGTGTGATTTATATGTATTTAAAACACCGATACGCTATCACAAAATCTGTGTGTGATATGGTTTGTTTTGTTGGGTAAGGCCCTTTCGGTCTGACAAGACTATTTCAAAGCCGGAAGGATGCTAGGAATTAGGGGATGACATTGGTCTGGACAGGCAACCTAGTGAGTCACCGGGGCTGAGCCCGTCCCATAGGACAGGCCAACCAGCCCAGCCACCGGCCCCCCAAAGTACTCACTGCACCCGGCTACGGGTGTGCTCTCCAGGGAGCAGCGGTGCCGCTCCAAGCCCGCATGAGATAAAGTTGACTGTCCAGCCCGGATAAGGGGTTGCAGAGTGGAGGAGAAGGATGTGAATTTCCTGAGGATGGAAACGACGGACGGGAATAATATCACAAAATACGTTTGTGATGTCTTATGAGTTACCGATACTCGAAAGTGTGGTGAATAAAGCTCTTATTCTGACAAGCTGCGCGTTGTGTCTATCCAGCTCAGGAGCGGGTGTCCGCCAACAATCTGCGCTCGGTGGTGGTGCGGCTGGACAAGACGCGCCGCTCCATCGAGATCCGCACCATGAAGGGCTCTCTGCTAGAGGTCTGCACCGGCCGGCTGCAGCCGCGGCTGGCTGCAGCCCCACGGCTGTGGGCCGGGGCGGCTGCAAATATCTCCAAGAACACGGCTACGGCTGTGGCCACGGCTGTGAGATTTCAAGCTCAATCTTAAGTACTCCAATATAAAATTTTAAATCCTTAATCTCACATTCTGATAAGCAGTCTAGCCTGTAAAAATCATGCAAAGGATGCCCAGCAACATTGAAAGTGGTGAAGCCTTTGAAAACCTGTAATGGTTTTACCATTTGTTGTTGTAGGGGAGTTTGCACTCTGGTACAGAATACTAATTATAGGTACCAATTGTTCCTTCATCATCAAGAGCTTGACAGTTTCAGAAAATGCAGCATGTTGCATTGTCACATCCCTCTCAAATCAATCTCACCTGGTCATTAGGAGAGCACCTTACAGCTATTGAAGACGAGCGTTCAATAATTCTTTCAGGTAATAGAAAAAAAAATCACGCCTAGGTAAAGGCAGGTAAAGGCTTCATAAAATATTATCAAAAATAACTCTTAGATGTATTTCTGGATTTTCGGCAAGTCCAATTACATAATATAAAATTGGCGCTTTATGTTCTAACTGGTGTGTAAGTGACCGCTAACAGAAAATGCTGATCAACGAAGCCAATGGAATTAGATTATAAGTGAACATGAACCTTACTTACGGTTAATTCACATGATGGTGAAAACCCTGAACACGTAATTCACATGACGGTGAAACCCCTGAACACAATATTTCTTACGCGAGCTGTTGACTTTATTAATAAAATGACGTCTTCTTCTGAAAATGTAGAAAAATTGATATTTACTCTTTATTTGAGAGCAAGTTTTTGACTGTTTAGCATTATTATATATAAATTATAATTTTTATGGCTGTTTATAGTGACACAAAACAATTTGTTGCCACTTCCTTGCTATTGACGTCATAAAAACTCAAGTAAAATTTTTGATTAAAAGAGGTAATTTTGGCTCGCACGTCCTTGGGGATTTGAGCGAAGATCATTATTTGGAAAAATCAAAATAGAAGAATGTTTTTCTTTCTTGGATGCTCACTAGTGTTTTGATGCCTTGCATATCAAATTAGTTTGAGACTTGCCCAGAAGGCTGCTTCAAGTCTGGCATATCACACCCCAGAAAATATGCAAGGTAAGAAAGAAGCAAGAGTTTTGACTAGACAATCACTGTTTGACAGTCCATCAACTTGAGTTTCATTTTCCATACCTAACATTGATAATGAAAAGCATCAGGGTCTGTTGTTCCGTCCCACAACCATGCTTCAGGATTTGGCATTAGATGTCTACACTGCTAGTGCTTCTATTCTGGTTCATTGTTTATGTTTTCTGTTGATGTAGGGACCTACCTACCCATCTTTCTTAACCCCTTGCAAGGGCTTGTGTAGGCATGCGTTGCGCATCAGGCTTTAGGCCTTCGGCCTAAAGCCAGATACACAACCACTTAACCTATGATGCTTCATGAGCTTGAGAATCTATAGCCCATTGCAATGTGCTTTGGCTATATGTTTCAACTAAAAACAACTTATTATATACTATTTGGTTGCATTTCATTGAAAGTATCCGCGGCCGGCTGACGGCTGGCTGCCCACAGTTTGCCACGGCTGTGGGCGGCTGTGGCTGTGGAGCCACGGCTGCGGGGCGGCTAGGCTGTGGAAAATTGCAGCCGTGCAGAACTCTACGTCTCTGCTGCGCTCGGTGGAGCTGCGGCACATGGCCGAGCTGGACGTCATCCTGCCGACAGATGGCAGCACCGTCATCATCAAGGTGCCCCGCGAGTACGACCTGGTGAGTCGGAGAAGGCCCCGCTTCCCCTCTGGCACTGGGGTCAGACCGTGGAACAGAGACCCACGAGTACGACCTGGTGGGTCGGAGACGGCCCCGCCACCCCTCGGCTGTCTTATGGGGGTCAGGTGATGGGACACAGGCACACGAGTACGACCTGGTGGGTCGGAGACGATCCCCCCCCCCCCCATCACCTCTATCATCGGGGTCAAGTTTTGGAACAGAGGCCCGTGATGTGAGAAGCCGGGCTGGCTATGAGCTAGAGCTCAACGATTGAGGAGGGGAGAGTAGCAAATGAAAATGTTTAGCTTTGTAGGCATTAGCGGTGCGTGGCACATAGTGTCTAAAACGCCTCTCTCCCCTCCCCAATTACATCGTGTAGGGTTACGGAGCATTAAGAATTATGTAGCTCTGATTCTTTGGCAGCCGAATTGTCGCCTGTCCCCGACGATGAACTTTATTGCCTTGTGCTGGGCATTTTCAGGTACTGGAGCTGGGCGGCCACTTTCTGAGGGACCAATTCATGGGTTCGCTGAACGGCTTCCTGACCGAGTGCGGCATCCAGAAGAACGAGGTGACTGCCAAGCTGAAGCCGGCGCTGGAGCAGGTGGTCACCCAGGAGCACCGACAGCGCAACCTGGAGCGATTCTTCCGAGTGGTGTTCGCACAGGTGAGAGCCCAAACTCTGGTCGGTGGCGTGCTGTGTTGTCCAGTTTTGGATGCACGGATTTACGGGAGCGTGCTTCTATACCGCTCCGATTACGAATGCAAACGACTAACGAGCCTCATTCTAAGCAAACGTAGCCTTTTGTTGCACATCACCACATGTGTTATGACCACCGACAGGCGTTCAACATAAAGCTGAGCAAGGAGGAGGTACTGAACGTGAGCTCGGAGAGCGCGCGCGAGGTGGTGCACATGGAGCTGACCCTGGCAGAGTTCGCTGACGCACTCAGCATGTCCAGCTCGTCCAGCTTCGTCACCAAGGTACGCACTTCAAACATCACCCGACCGCAGTTTATCCACATTGAGCAGAGCTGCTAGGTGACATGTTTCGTCCGGAGCTAAATGTTCCATTCCCGTGTCATGCTAGGCTTTGGAATAAGCTGCATTTTCTGACGCAAGTGAATCCAATGATAAAAATCACCGAATGAGCTATCGCTCATTTGTTTCCGTATATCAACTCATTCGCACTGACTGTCTCTCTCCCGTCTCCTTGGCCTTGTCTTCCTCACTCGCCACTAACCTGTTCGTCCGCCAACCCTCAGATGTTCGCTGTCGTGGACATGGACAAGAACGGCTACATCTCTTTCCGCGAGTTCCTGAACATGATGGTCGTTTTCGCCAAGGGCACTGCAGAGGACAAGGTGAAGCTGATGTTCGACATGTACGACATCGATCAAGTTGGCAAACTGAGTCGCAAAGACTTCAGCGATATGATTCGGTAAGCTTTCAGTTGCGTTGTTTATAATGCCCCTTTTATAACAAGTACGAACATATGCACTTGTAAACAGCTTTCGGTTTATTTGTCGGTGCGGCTCTTTTGTCGAACAAGTCTTACGCGCTGCCAACAACGTAATTTTCACGATACATAGTGCATGAATCAATATACCCGATCCAGGAGGCACCAGTTGAACTTACTTAAGGTGCACACGGCGCTATGGCTAGTGTTCCGTTTACCCCACACCGTGGTCACAGGCGCCCGTCTCCCCGCCTGCCCGGGCGACTCTCAGTGTCGGTGGCGCTGACACCACCCTCCACCCTCCCCAGGTCGCTGCTGGAGCTCTCCAGCGCCTCGCTGGACTCGACCAACCTGGACGAGGTGGTGAACACCATGTTCAGCTCGGGCGGGCTGAGCGACAAAGACGAGATCACGGCGGACGAGTTCTTGCGGCTGTTTGCTCAGCATCAGGAGGCGCTCGGATACGCCCAGCTGCAGGTGGCAGGTACGCCTGATTGTGCAATGACATTCGTGCAACGAACGGATGAATATGTCTTATGCGTGCTGTCCAAGCCTGAAAGCCTGAAACTTTAAGCGTCATAGCTAAAAACGAAATTATTGGTAAGCGCATATTATATGCGAAAGCCACGATGCCAAAAGGTGTTAAATTTCTTGTCCTTGCCCGGCGACAAATTTCGCTCCCGGTGTAAGCAATGACCAGCTGTTTGTCGGTGACTGTCGCCTCATTGATATCTTACAGGAGCATCGATGCCCCTGCCGTCAAAAGACAAGCGCAAGTCTGGCTTCGCTCGAACCCGTGACACCGTGCTCTCCATCTACAGGTGAGTAGTTATATTTGTTTAGTTTAGTCGTTTTAGGCTATTTCCGCAATGCAGCATCTTTGCAGCGTTTGATCCGGTGGAGTCATTGGGCAGATGCCAGAAGCGGTCAGCGGTTTAGCGTTTCCGAAGGACTGGCCATTGGCCAACGCAGTCGCGTTAGCGGTTAGCCGGGGTAAGATTTTTACACTTCCACCCCAGTAACCGGTGACCGTCTATCTGAAACACGAGGCAGACTGTTCAAGGAAGAAAATGAATAGGTGGATCCTGAAGAATAAAAAATGATATACCATAAGTTTTCTTATTGACGTTCTCGAGAATTCGAGCTATCTCTTGAACTTGGCCCACGCATGCGGCTAATTTCCTGATGCACAAAAGTTTAAAAGCCACCGTGATTAACGGCCATGTTGTGAATGCATTGTAATTACACTTTGATTGTGTGTCACCCGCAGTGACCTGGACAGCGGCGAGGGCGCCGCGCCGACCTCCCCCGATGAACCAGAGGCAGAGATAGCCGTCATTGAGAACCAGGGCGAGCCCAGCAGGCAGCAGGCGGGTGGGGCCGGCCGTCTGGCGCGCTGGATGGAGATCCACCGGCTGACCGTCTTCTGGAGCACCCTGTACACGCTGGTCCTGCTGGGCATTTTCGCCGAGCGAGCCTACTGTGAGTGTTCCACGGCCACCGTCGTAATCTCTGGCTCATAAATCGCATGTTTTTTTATGAAAAAAATAGTAAATTCTTGTTAGGAGTTTGTGCTAGGCGTTACATTCGATATGTCGCTCGTCAGTCGGGCAGATAAGTCGCTCGGTTGTGCTAAACTCCTACAAACTTCTACGCAATATTTATGGTATGCTCGATTTGGCTGGCTTTATGTGCTGGGGGACGAAGATGTAAGTCGCGTCCCCCTGCACCTCCAGACTACTCTGTGGAGCGGGAGCACGCCGGTCTGCGCCGGATCGCCGGCTACGGCGTGACGGTGACGCGCGGCGCCGCCTCCGCCATGATGTTCACGTACTCGACCCTGCTGGTGACCATGTGCCGCAACACCATCACCTTCTGCCGCGAGACCTTCCTGCACCGCTTCATACCCTTCGACTCGGCCATCTTCCTGCACAAGTACATCGCCGCCTGGGCGCTCTTCTTCTCACGTGAGTGTGTTTTGTGGTGTGGTGTTGTCATCATCATCATCATCATATATTTTTTGCGTCACATGGGGAGCAAGTAAGAAAAAGAAAACATCAGAAATCAGTGACACAAAAGATCGGTGCAGAAGCCTGCCGGCTTAAATTAAAGCACCTTTCCTTAAAAAAAAAACGGTAGTGGCGGCTGTCCTAGGAGGGAGAGTGGAGGAGGGGAGGAGAGGGGGTAGGAGAAATATGTTTGCTGAAATGCGAAGCTGAGGTATTTTAGGTTTCATGCGAAAGTTGTTCCGTGTTTTGATGTTTTGTTCATGTTATTTTTAACGATTGAATCTGGCAAATCTCATTTCGTCTGAAGAAGAAGGCCTTTGAAAGCTGCCGCTATATAAACGTTACTGGTGCGAGACGATTATTTTTATCTAATTTGGTCTGTTTCCAGTGGTGCACACGGTTGGCCACGGCATCAACTTCTACCACATCTCGACTCAGGCTCCTGGCGACCTCACCTGCCTCTTCCGCGACTACTTCAGATCGTAAGATAAACAGCGAACCGTGGGCGTTGACCGATATAGGCAAACGCATGCATAAAAGTGCACGACTTTGTTATTCGCAAATCGCAAGGCTGTTTGGAATAAACCTTTATTTCAGAAGTCTTTCAAGAATCAAGTGTTGCATACGTTACTTGCAGTGTCCGGCTCGCCGTCGGGCCTTGCGCAGCGTATGGTACGTTTGTTGGCTATCGTCGGCACCCAGTGCGGTAACGGGCCGTGTCGCGTCGGCCGGCAGGACGGACGTGCTGCCCAAGTTCCACTACTGGTGCTGGGAGACCATCACCGGCTTCACCGGCGTCCTCCTTCTGCTCAACATGGCCGCCATCTACGTGTTCGCCGTGCAGTACGCGAGGAGGAACGTCTACAAGGGCTTCTGGGCGACGCACAACACGTACCCGTTCTTCTACATCCTCACGGTGCTGCACGGGTCCGGTCGGCTGGTGCAGGTGAGACGGCTGAACAGCTCAGCTCAGTCTGCCGATGACCTGCAGCACACTCAGCGCTCATACAACACTGGTCAGCGCTCATAAAGCAGAAGCCTGATCTCAAATTTCTGGAATGATTGTTACTGTGCTGGAGAAAAAAGCACGGTCGAGAGAGGGGCTATGTAACTCATCACTGCATTGTATGCTAGAGTCTATTTTAACCCGCTCGGTCGGAACGTTGCGTGTTTTCCAGGAGCCTTTCTTCCACTACTTCTTCCTGGGTCCGTGTGTGCTGTTTGCCCTGGACCGACTCGTCACTGCCAGCAGGAAGAAAGTCGAGATCGCCGTCATCAACGCAGAGCTGCTGCCCTCAGGTACTGTCCGCTCCCGCAGTCATGGGCATTGGGCAATATGATTGAACGTGGTTTTTAGTAACTCATCTGACCAAGTGACACTGCGCTCAAGGCTGAGCAGCTGCAGCCGCAACTGGCAGTGTGTAAAGGCGGAGAGTACACGTAAATTTACACATTAAGTGCAAAACAACAGTGACGTTTATGATTAATATTGCGCATTGTTTAGGCGAGACAGATGTTTCTGCTTTAACTATCCTTTTGAGCACCCGCTCGCAAGTTTATTACATGGCCGTGTCTCTCCAGATGTGACTGCCATCCACATCAAGCGTCCGTCCAACTTTGAGTACAAGTCGGGCCAGTGGGTGCGCATCGCCTGCCCGGTGCTCAGCAGCAGTGAGTTCCACCCGTTCACCCTGAGCTCGGCGCCGCACGAGAAGAACCTCAGTCTGCACATCCGCGCCGTCGGCCCGTGGACCCGCAACCTGCGCCGTGTCTACGACCCCACCGTCATCCGCGACCACGCGCTGCCCAAGGTACGATCGCAACTAAATACATACCTACTCTAGAGCATGTCCAAGACGCCCATCTTAAAATCATGGTCGCTGAACATCTGAACATCAGGGTGTTGTTAAACTCCGTGTAGTGTTTGATCTGTTCGGGCCTCCCGCCGGCATTGCACACGTTACCGATGATGCCGTTCGCTCTCCGTTGTATGTATCGTTCCGTAAGCCTCAGAGTCTTAGCTGAGCCTGATCGCTAGTCTCGTTCGCTGAGCCTCGGAGCCTGAGCTGAGCCTGAGCCCGACCTTCGCTCGCTGAGCCGGGTGTTCCCCTCTCTCAGATCTACCTGGACGGTCCGTACGGCGAGGGACACCAGGACTGGTACCGGTTCGAGGTGTCGGTTCTGGTCGGCGGCGGTATCGGCATCACACCGTTCGCCTCCATCCTCAAAGACATCGTCCGACGGGCCAGCGCGCCGGCCGGCATCGCGTGCAAAAAGGTCAGCTTACCGATTTTATTCACAAAAGGTATGATTACCAATCTAACCTGAGTGTCGAAAACGAGCATAAGTAACACGTATTATCTTATCGCTGTTAGCATTGAGACATCAGTTTTCGGGCTGTTTAAATTGATCTCATATGGAGAAGGCCATTATTGTTTTGTGAGCTTGTGTTGGCTAGTTTGTGTGTCTGACTGTTGCGCGCCCCTGCAGGTGTATTTCCTGTGGGTGACGCGCACTCAGAAACATTTTGAGTGGATGGTGGACATTATCCGAGACGTGGAGAACAGCGACCCCAACCACCTCATGTCCACTCACATCTTCATCACCCAGTTCTACTCAAAGTTCGACCTGAGAACCATCATGCTCGTAAGTCGAATGGAGCTGGACATGGTCCATGATGTAGATAGCTTTCGATGTTTTTAGATAACACTCGAAATAGTTCGAGCAAACTTCTCTAAAATGTACGAATGCGGCAAATGCTGTTTGTTTTGCAGGTAGTTCCAGACGTCTTAGTGATGGTCCTCTGGTCAAATTTCAGCGTAATAGTTAGTTTGTGCAGTGTCTCCACATGACTTCTGTTATCAATGTCGACTGACAATGCCCTTGTTTCAGTACATTTGTGAGCGGCACTTCCAGAAGATCAGTCGCCGCTCGCTGTTCACCGGCCTGCGCTCCATCACGCACTTTGGGCGGCCCAACCTGCCGTCCATTTTCCGCTCCCTGCAGCGCGCTCACCCTCAGGTAAGGGGCACTTTAAACCGTGTACACGAGCGGGCTAATGTGGGTACGTGAACAGCGTAAGGTCACGTGCACATAAAGGGTGCGTTATACTCAACACTGAGGAAGGCAGTAAAATGTATGGACACTGAGCAGGCGACATTCACAGCTCACGGGTAAAGGGTGTATTATGTCCCGCACACGAGTGTAGCTTATGTGCATGCTGGGCTTGCATGTAATGGTGTGCACTGTGCTATGTCGTGCAACTCGGTGAGCGAACTACCGATAAGGACGCATGGATTTTATGACCACTGTCGCTGTTAATCGTTGAATCAGAGTAGTTGTTTCAGGTTAATCGAACAGTCGGTAGGTGCACTTCAGCGCACAAGGCTGCGAGCGTGCGTGTCACAGGCACGATGACCATCAGGAAGTTGATCTCTGAAGTCTGATGTGACCTTACTGAGTACTGACCTGTGATATCGATCACCCACAGGTGGGCAAATTCGGGGTGTTCTCGTGCGGCCCGGCGCCCATGACTCGTTCCGTGGAGGAGGCTGCCCAGGCGATGAACCGCGGCAGCGGCGCCACCTTCGAGCACCACTTCGAGAACTTCTAGTGGGTGACACGACCACAAACGGAATGACGAGAGAGCAGCATCAGCTCCTTGAGCACTGCCAGACGTCCCAGCCAGTGACATTGTCTTTCGGAGTCGAGATACTGATACCGCCGGCTGCTGGTTGACGGTTACGCCAGGCGGGGAGACCAAACTACCGAATGACTTGCTGTTATGCGTAAGCACGCTAGCATTGGACATAGCACCTTGCTGTATGTTATGTGTAAACTGCGCGTGCTTGATTGTTTGCGAATTTTTATTAAGCGTCTCGTATGTGTTGAAGACGTTGCGAATGAGCCATTCACCTTTTTGACGTCAGTTATATATTCATAGCTTGATACGAAGTCCGACAACTTTAGAATATGGTTAATCCCGAATGCGTCTTTTCTTAGAAAAATACAAACATATTTTTACCGAGAGTAAGAACATGAGACGGCTCTCTGGAAAAGCAACCCAGGTGTAGCCGATGTGATGCTAGCCTTATTAAAGTACATCATGCTTTGTATATCGCACAGTGCGCATTTTGATAACTTGCTTCTTTGTTTTGTTGGGTTAGGCCCTTTCGGTCGACAAGACCATTTCAGAGCCGGTAGGATGATAGGATATAGGGGGAGACATTGGTCTGGGCAGGCACCCTAGTGAGTCGCCGGGGCTGAGCCCGTCCGAAGACAGGCCACCCAGCCCCAAGGCACTCACTGCACCCGGCTACGGGGTGCGCTCCCTCGGGAGCAGCGGTGCCGCTCCAAGGGAGCAGCCCGCATGAGATAAAGTTGCCTGTCCAGCCCGGAGGGGGGTGGCGGTGTGGAGGAGAAGGATTTCAGTATCCTGAGGATAGAAGCACGGAACGGTGATAACTTGCTTCTCAGGCGTCCAGGACTTAGATGCATTTTGATGCAAACATGCATTTCCGAACGTTGCTTGGAAAATGGCAATCATCAGCGAGAGCTATTGCATCAATACATCAGTGACTGCCAACTGCTTGTGAATATCTATAGTAAAGGGGGGCTCGGTCAATTGGCAGCAAAGAGTGCACAATCGGTGCCAGAATTGTGCACATTATTTCACGCCACGATTCCAGAAATAGCGCTGCGAGAGTCGCGTACCGCGCCGAACCGCGATCGGAGCGGATGCATCCACTTGCTGTTGATTTACGCACATCTACGCGGGGAGCATCCCTTGCCCAGCCAGCCCACGGCGGGGCGTAACATCCAGCTGTATGTCTGCTACATTACATATCACTTCTCTACAAACCAGTAAAACGCCTTTTGGGCGAAGAACGAGCGAGCGAGATAGTGAGCCCTGCACGTGCGGAAGGGCGAGAGGGTGCTTCCAACGGGCTTGCGCAAAGCACCCTTCTAACTGGTCGCTAGCGGTGTGCCAAATTTGAACGCAATCGGCCCAGCCGTTCCTGAGATCTGGAAGCGGCATTCTGCACGTGCGCACGTGCAAACGGGGTCCAAAATGACTTTTGCACGGCACCCTACTAACTGGTCCCCAACCGTGTACCAAATTTGAGCGCAATCGGCCCAGCCGTTCTCGAGATCTGGAAACGCCCCCTGCACGTGCGCACGTGCAGTAGCACCCTAACCGCAACACATGGGAATGCATTACCTGGTGGGTGCCTACCTGTATGCCAAGTTTCAGCGAAATCGCCCCAGTAATTACCGAGTTACTGAAATGGGAACAAATTTGGCACCTCTTATTGTTGTATTTTGCACGTGCACTGGGGGTGACCCACTTGCATCGAGAGTATCCTATTTTGGGTAGAAGGGATGCTGCTACCCTACAAAAATTACTGCAAGTCAATCGCCCAAGCAGCTGCTGAGATATGAGCCTCTCAAAATCACTACTTTTGCAAAACAGCTTGAACACCCTTGACTTTTCACGTGGCACGTGCCACGACGGTCACTGAGATGTATCAAAAGTAGTCAATTACGGGGTAGAAGGGATGGGGCTACCCAACAAAAAAGACCGCAGGCCAATCGGTCCAGCGGTTGCTGAGATATAAGCCTCTCAAAAGCGTTACAGGCCGGGCCGGGCCGGGCCGGGCCGGGCCGGGCCGCTCATACTGAGATTTTTCCGTTATATTGAAAAGACTCACTTCGCTCGCTGCGCTCGCTCGCTCGTAATAATGTGCACGTCTTCAATTGTTCTTTCACATTAGTTTCTACGTGATATGACACTTTGTTCGTTTCAGCTCTTAAAACGTTCGGGAGAATATGTTCACATGGACATAATGTATTTCCATATCGACAAAGGTATCATACAGTGGCATCATCAAGTAATAATATCGACTCTAAATTCATTAATCAAGTAAGTTCACTAAGAGCGCTGCGATGGGGCCCGGCCAGCCGGAGCAGTCGGTTGGCCTCTCCAGCTCACCACTCTGAAAGTGCCCTCGAGCTGATGCGACTCGAGGTGCGGCGTTTGGCACAGCTCGCGACACGCCCGCTCTCTCCTCTCTCAGCCCGCCTCCTACCTGTGCGGGTAGACCTCCCTCGGCCCCGTGGGACAGCAGTGGTATCCCGCGCCGGCAGAGTGCTCCCAGCCCCTCCTCCCGTCGGGCAGCAGCAGAGCGGAGCGGCGGCGCGAATACCGCGCCGTCGCCGCCTCCTACTCACTCAGGCACATACTCGGTATGAAAATACTCGGTCTCCGGCCGCCGGAGCTGGCCCGGAGCAGGCACTGGCCCTGAACAGATGCCGGGGCGGCCGCGCCCCGCCCCCTCCTCCTTGGTCGCTCAGGCCGCCGGCTCGGCCAGCCGGGAGCCGCCGGAGCGCTGTCGGCGCACCTCCGAGTTGCCGGCGCACCGGCGCACACACGGGATGAAGAACAGCATGGCGCCGCTTACCGCCACCATGGTGCCGGCCACGTAGAAGCCCGGGTCGTACGAGTTGGTGGCGTCGTACAGGGCGCCTGCGGACGGAGGCACGGTCAGGGGGTGACGCGAGCAGGACCCATCGGCGACCAGACATTGGCGATATTCAGCGCCCATCTCCCCTCGGCGGGTCGACATTGACGCTACAGCCGTCCAGCATTGCCATCACCCTCCGGACAATCGTCAACGGCATCACAGACCTCTCCTCTCCCCCTTCTCCCAAACTCAGTGGTCCGGTACTGGCACCACAGTCACCCCCTCCACCCCACCTACGCCCCAGTAGTCCGACAACGGAGCGGGATTCAACACTGCTAGGGCGTCGCCGTACCGCTGACGTGTTTGCCCCACTGATGACGTAATGTTGACGTCACGGTTGTCAATAACTCATCAATCCATTATGATCGATTCGTCCCGTGAGTGGTATCGATGCGGTGGGTAGACCGTGGACAAAAGCTTTAATTATCTCCACGTTTATACTGCGGTGGAGCAACTGAGCGATGTAGGTAACTATTGGAGGTCATCGGCAGCGACCTCACACATGGTTAGCGATTCCTGCGGGAGGAGCGGAGCTGTCTCACCGGCGATGGGCGGTCCGATGAGCGTGGCCACGCCCTGGAACAACAGCAGCAGGCCGAACGCGTTGGTGAGCTTGTCGAGGCCGAGCAGGTCGACCAGGATGACTGAGGTGAGGCCCACGTAGGCGCCGATCGTGAACCCGAACACGGCGGCGTACAGGGCCAGCGTGGGGAAGTCGGTGCAGAAGGCACTGAGCGCCGTGCCTGGCGACAGAGGTACAGTCAGTACCTGGGGGCAGAGGTACAGTCAGTACCGGGGGACAGAGGTACAGTCAGTACCTGGCGACAGAGGTACAGTCAGTACCTGGGGACAGAGGTACAGTTAGTACCTGGGGGCAGAGGTACAGTCAGTACCTGGGGAAGTCGGTGCAGAAGGCACTGAGTGCCGTACCTTGGGACAGAGGTACAGTCAGTACCTGGGGAAGTCGGTGCAGAAGGCACTGAGCGCCGTACCTGGGGGCAGAGGTACAGTCAGTACCTGGGGAAGTCGGTGCAGAAGGCACTGAGCGCCGTACCTGGGGGCAGAGGTACAGTCAGTACCTGGGGACAGAGGTACAGTCAGTACCTGGCGACAGAGGTACAGTCAGTACCTGGGGAAGTAGGTGCAGAAGGCACTGAGCGCCGTACCTGGCGACAGAGGTACAGTCAGTACCTGGGGACAGAGGTACAGTTAGTACCTTGGGACAGAGGTACAGTCAGTACCTGGGGACAGAGGTACAGTTAGTACCTTGGGACAGAGGTACAGTCAGTACCTGGGGAAGTCGGTACAGAAGGCACTGAGCGCCGTGCCTGGGGGACAGAGGTACAGTCAGTACCTGGGGATAGAGGTACAGTCAGTACCTGGGGAAGTCGGTACAGAGGGCACTGAGCGCCGTGCCTGGGGACAGGCGGTAACCAGTTAGTGCCGTAGGGACAGCGGTACAGTCGATACCTGGGGGACCGCGCGGTACAGCACCTGGTTCAAGGCGGATCGAGCCCGTACGAGTATCGCACGGGACACTGAGTAATGGGCCATCCATCACGGGTATAGTACCTACACGACAGTGAGTAAAACTCTCCAGGTTGTCGGTAACCAGGGGCGGATCCAGCATTTTGCCAAGGGGGGGGCTATTCCGAATCGGGGGCCCCCCATCGATGGGGGCCCTACCTACCCCCAAAAGTTTAAGCCTGGATTTCGTCCACTTTATTTTTTGGGGCCCCCTATCATGCTTTTTTTTGCAAAAAAAAAGAAAATGAGAAAGTCGCCCGGGGGGGCGCTATAGTCCCTATCGCCCCCCTGGATCCGCCCCTGCTAGGAGGCCTTGTATGTGAACTAGGAAGCCCTCTGTGATAGCTAGGAGGCCCTCTGTGCAGATGCGAGCGCAGGCCCTCAGTACAGACTTGGAGACCCTTTGTGTGGATGCGAGTGGAGGCCCTCTGTGGAGATTAAGAGGTCCTGTGTTGGCGAAGAGGATATCTGTGCAGGCTTGGAGTCCCTCTGTGCAGGATAGGAGACCTTCTGTGTGAGTTAGGAGGCCCTCTGTGTTGGCTAGGAGGCCCTTTGTTCGGATGCGAGTGGAGGCCTCTGTGTAGGCTAAGAGATTTTGTGTTTGTTAGGACATCTGTGCAGGCTTGGAGGCCCTCTGTGCAGGTTAGGAGGCCCTGTAAAAGTGGTCATCTCTGTGAGTATAAGAGACCTCCAAGTTATGAAAAGCTTTACCAATCTTCTAACAAAGAAGTCTTCTCAGCTAGTCTTCTAAGAAATAACGAAGTGGGTAGGTTAAAAAAAAAACTCATCGGATTTCGGCCACTTTATTTTCAGGAGGCCCCCTTTTCAGCTTTTTAACTTTTTATTTTATTTTTGAAAAAAAAATCGGCCAAGGGGGGGGCCATGGCCCCCATGGCCCCCCCCCCTTGTATCCGCGCTTGTCGGTAACAGTTGATATAGGTCAGATCAGTGAGAAAAGAGCTCACCAGTGCGTCCCGTAAAACACAACGCGCATCAGTATGGGTCCGGACAAGAGTAATTAACCCCCCAGCGTCTCGAATAAGTCTGTTACGGCTCATACGAGTCAGTGGGCGGCTCGGAGCCATCCCAATGTGAAAATAATGTCCACAATCCGCCCGTGTGCCATCCTGGCCCGGCTCACCGATTCCAGAGACTGTGAGCGCGCAGTTGTAGACCCAGAGCCGGTTGACGCACGGCCGGTCCGATATGTAGCCCAGTACGATTCGAGACACGGTGTTGCTGATGCCGATGATGGAGAGCAGGAAACTGGCGCTGTCTCGGTCCAGGCCGGCCTGCACGGCCTTATCCTGTGAGCGAAGAACATGAAGATGAACTACACTGTTGACAAGGCAACGTTTAAAATCTTGGCTCACAAATGAACAGGGGTGGTATGCACGGCGATCGGAGAAATTCGAGGGTATATCAGACACATAAAACCTCATGCAGTCTTGCTGGGCGGAGAGCGGGGCCATCAGCGCGCTCTCACCGCGATATAGATGTAGGGCACGTTGAAGCCGATGCTGGTCAGGAAGTTGGAGATGGCGAATGTGAGGAACACGGGGTCTTTGAGCAGTGCCAGGCCCATCATGTCGTGGAGCGTGTCGGCCACGTCCTGCGGGCACTGGATGCAGCCGCAGACGACCGTGCGCGCCGTGCCGTCCACCACCGGGGCGGCCACCTCCACCTCATACTCGTCCTGGTTCGACCTGCCGCAGCGGAGAACGACAGTCGGTTCAGTACAGAGAAATCGAACATCACCCTCACACATGAAAAAGTAACGCTTTTAACGCTTAACTACCTTTTGATAAAACAAAGAAGATCGTCAACCACGGTTAATTTCCGTGATCAGCAGCATTCTCCATCTAGAACTTCCAGGTCATTGAAACGTCACACATGACTAAAATGTTGGCATCAGAAAACATTATCATTTGAAGCCATTGAACTCGAACGCATTCCTGTTTTGTTTACCTTTTCAGGGCTGGCACCCGCCACAACTGAGGCAGTGACAGAGGGCGCGCGGATTCCATTCTCCCGTGGCCTGAGCTCAAAATGACAGCCAGTCTCGGCCAGGGCGTAGTGGCTGTCATAGGCTGACCTGCCAGCCGTTGCCGTGGAGCATACGAGTCCCTCAGCCGTTCCCCAGTTCCATATCCAACATCGGATAGATGGTTTTCAACCGACTGTGCTCGCCATATCTCGCCATATTAATCTCGCCTCTATTAGCCACGAAGCTAAGTCGCATGACCAGAAAAAAACGTAGAATCAGACATTAAATACTTTGTAGACCAAGCCTTAACATTGCAGACCTGGTGCGACTTAACAGCTCTCTGAGCGGCGCTAACTCAAAGTTCTGAGGACACAAAATCGTGGTAAAAAAGGACCTAGTAATAGCAGTATCAACTAGCCTGATAACGTCTGATAACATAGGCAGTGTTCTATTCGCTAGATTAGATATGACGTTACATATGATATCAGTTCACCGAGACTGATTTAGCACCGACTATTTTTGCGTGCTATTTTCCGGAAACTAGGAGGTCGCAGTAGCTTCCATCGGCGCGTGGTGGTGTGACCCAAACCTCCAAGGTCACGTCCGTCCGACGCCCCGAGTTGGCGTGCTCGGAGCACCGACTGGAGCTCGGCCAAATTCGTATGTCATTAAGGGGCCGAGCCAGAGCGTACGCGGACGCTGACGCACGCCGGGGCCCGGCAGTCAGAGCCACAGCTGGATAAGGCGCCTTTGGTCCAACAGGCAGACGACGGAGACGGTAGACAGACTAGACACTATAACCCAGAGGCTGGTGGATGAGCCGAGGGGTCACGTAACAATACGCCAAATGGTGACGTGGGTTTTCACCGTCACTATCTTGAGAAGCGTGTTTCGTGAACAACACAAAACAAGAGTCACCTCTGACCCATTGTACTTATATAGGCGGCCTAGCTGCATAATCGCTTTGAACGCAATGAGAGGTAGGTGAACGAAAAGCAGGTGGCGCCAGGATTTATATCCAGTTTCTCAGCACAGCATGTAAAAGTTACGGGAGAACGTAAAAGCGCCCTTGGTCTGAAATGAGACCGTTAGGCCACTCACGGTAGGCCCTAAACCAGCACGGCTTCACACCCAGCCAAGAATACAGCTCTTGTGGCATGAAAGTCAATTCCATCCCGGCGTAGGTCCCTTTACCGCGTCCGGTCGACTGGTCTATAAGCACACATTTTAACGCGATTTATGTGACCCACTAAAATATATTGCATACCTATTTGGCGACGATCTATGTGACTTGTACTGCGGTATATTCAGTCGAGGTGTGGGGTACTCACTTGTATTACGGTATAACTTTGAAAGATACGGGGGTACTGGCTTGTACCGTGAAACATACATCGGGTCTGGGTATTGGGCACTGACTTGTACAGCGGTACAGGCGATAGAGGTACAGGTTAGTACTGACTTGTACCGCTGTACGTTTAGCCTGCCGGGGTACGGGTTAGTACTGACTTGTATATACTGGGGTATGCTGAGCAGGCATATTGCCGGTCAGGTTATAAGGTACAGTGCACTGACTTGTACTGTGGAATGTTGAGCAGGCATATTGCTGGCCGGGATAGTATACTGACTTGTACTGGGGTATGTTGAGCAGGCTGCCGCTGTAGAAGATGTCCTTGCGGCGCATCACCTCCAGGTGCTGCGAGGGCCGCCGGCTGCTGGCTGCGCTGCCCGTCGGCTGGTACAGGTGCATCACGTCGTGCGAGCCAAACTGCTGGACGCCGGGCGTGGGACGCGCCAGCACTGCGGAACAAGCGCACATAGTGAGAGGACGGCAGAGGTCGGGCCGCACAGAAAGACACCCAGCTACCCACACTTTAGTCAGACGTACCGATACTCAGACACGAACATACTCAACGAATCATAACGCAGCTGTTAATCCTTTATTCGGGGAAGGGGAACTTAGGAGCCCCCACCCACATCTTTCACTCGTTGAGGGGAGATCATAGCTAGCAACCGTCTCTTACTCGATGAGGGGAGCTCATATATATATATATATATATATATATATATATATATATATATATATATATATATATATATATATATATATATCCCTCCCTGAATGTAGCTAGCTCACGTGGCTGTGACGAGGTCATCCGGCAGACCTCCTGTCTCCCGGGCGCGGTCACCACGATGGAGGTCGCGGCGGCAGCGCCCGGCTGGTCGGGCAGGTCGCTGTCGGTCAGGTTCCTAGGCACGGGCCGGCGCGCCGCAGTGCCGCCCAGCGCCCCGTCCTCGGCCGCCACCCGCAGCACCGGCTTGTTGAGTACACCGTTAGTGGCCCTGAGACGGGACAGAGGTCAGGTCAACAGCGGCTCAGAGAGGCGGGGGGACACATTACATAGCGGATCGCCACATGCCAGCGTGGTTCGATGGACACACCCGTAACAATAAACACCTGTCAACAATGAACACTTGCAACAATTATAAACAACGTACACTTGTGAAAGATACAAATTAGCTTCGGAAACTATGCCACTGTGACAAGCCTTTGTCTATCGACACTGGACATGGGTCGGGTCGCCGATGTTTTACGTACTTTTGTTGCCGTTTGGGCGCTCGGACCGGCTCCAGAGGCCGGAACAGGACGCCGAAGAAGGAACAGCCGCACAGCACGGCCGCCAAAATGAGCATGGCGTTCTTCCAGCCATATGACGTCACTAGGTGCTCCGTCAGCGGCGCGAAAATAAACGTGCCTGCAAACACAATACAGAACAGCAGGTAAATATATGATCTTATTCCACAGCTTGTGCACAAATAAAACGACACCGACTTATTAAAGCTAGTTGCTGTTACCACACTGACTAAGTTGCCATACTATAATTAGGTTAATTCGCTTATACCTAATTAAAGCAATAGAATTCGATGAAAATAAAAATGCGTGCGAATAGTGAATACACCAATAATTCGCAAAAGTCCCGACCATGCACTGTAAAAAATATTGACGAGCTATGTGTCAAAACAAGGGTCTCGAAACAGTCACCAGGTTGTCAATGCTTCCGGTACCTACCACTTAACTAGTTACCGCTTAGTTAGCTTACAGGCTGAGAACTATCCAGATCGTTATGATCCGGTATTGCAATGATACCCTAGGTGTACCTTTGTTTTGAAGTGCTGAATTAACTATCAAGGTTGTTTGACGTTTGTTTTCGCCTCAATCCGAAACGAGGAAGACCCTCATCAAATTATTAGGTGAAAGCCAGCCTCAGGATGATCAAAATACTAGGGATAGTTTTGTCATAGTAATCTGTGAAGGGCGAGGAACAAGCCGTAGCAATGCACTCGTCACTAAACCAGCCTGAGATTATTCGCCAGGTAGCTGCTGCGTTTCCCTACTTGCTGAATCATGTTTGCAACTTTCCATTTCCAGACACTTTTTACGGCAAATAAATTGTTGGGTTATTTGGAAGGTGAATGACAATTTTATTTCTATAAGTCAATACATTTGTATTTCCGATTGCTCTAAAACTTTTTTTTAATCGTTTGCGGTAGGTTTTTATTGTTCGCAGTAAAGTTGCGCACCTGTGAATCCTTCACTTAATGCGTTCCCGGCTTCCCGGCGCCAGTTGCGCTGTGCCGTGCCGCGTTCGGTCGGGGGTGCGCGCGTCTGTGAAGTGCGAGTGTTTATCACTGGGCAAACCTGTATCGTTTCCATTTGTGCAGTGTCTAGTTATGAAGAATTGCCTGCCGATATATGACCTGCAGTGATCGACGTTCTGATTCAATAACTTGCCATAAGCCATTATTCTCAACCAAATCGCGCAGAGACGTTTGCAAAGTTGTCGAGGAGGGGGGGGACAAGAGCGATTTTAAATGAATTGCTCTCCATGCAATGCAATAGGACTTAGGTTTAATTTTTCGAAAGTTGTGGAGCCGCCCCCGGTGTCCGGCCTGGCCAACCCTCTCAAGAACCGACAGCTAACGGAACACTGAAGTTTCACTACGACGATTTCCGCCAAAGTTATGAAGAAAAGGCAAGTGCAAGAAGTACAAAACTTCTCTTGGTAATCAAAACTTAGGTTTGGCAAATTCCAAACCCTAAGTCACTACAACTGTGGATATAAATAAGCTGGTTATTGACGGCCAGGCTCTGGCCAATCTGAGGTTCAGACCTATCATCAAGTTCATGAGGCAGCTGCGGTTTGGGCGGCTCACGGGCTCCACTGCATAGGCTCAGACAGGTACTCTACAAAATGTCTTCTGTGTTCTTAGGTTCAGATCTATCGATAGGTATGTGCATGCTTCTGATTCGATTGATTACTGTAAACGGGCGCTGGAAGTGAAAGGTTCGCTTGATATACGAAAGGTGCATTGCAAGAAAGCACATTATTTCAGAAATACACTTTCATTTTATCTTGAGCGTTTTTGGAATGGGCCGGATGAATTCGTCATCAAACTGGTAAGTGATTTCGTTTGAAGACCACCGATATTTAATAATATGATGGTCTTCAAACGAATTCGCTGGCAAATTCGATGACTGGATTGGGCGGCGTAGGATCTGCTGGTCATCTGACTATGGGTTGATTAGGGCCTAGTTGGGCCCCTAGTTTTGACCTAGTTTGAGCTTCATTCGTTAAGTAGGAACAAGACGATGCTTCTTTTGAACATCGTCACTAAACAAGCCGCCCTCGTTTTGACATTGTTTTTCGTTATTATTGTTACTAGGTACTTTGTTATCATACACAGCATTAACGAGGACCTGCTTCCAAGACAAGGCAGAAACGCTCCAGCTATTTTTGGGACGTGGTAAAAACTAACCGACACCTGGTAACTGTCATCTGACGAACACAAAACAAGCCAGGGGCTCGTAGCGTGTGTCAAAAGTAGGATGCAAAACTAGTCTGTACCCCCGACATTTAGCGTTGAGAATCATTTGACGAGGGGCTAGTCAATATTTTTTACAGTGTGGGTCCAGACGACACTCATGCGTGGCTAATTCATGTGCGTGCCGATGCTATCGGTATTTGAGATACTCGCGAGATTAATGTCTCAACTGATGAGGCCGGCGGTGCTCGGCGACACACGGCGCCGTGCCTCCTCAAGATAGTGGGCCCGATACCCGGCGCTCCGGTGGACAGAGTCCGTGGAGTGCCGCGTGGTGCACATGGCTGCAGCGGGCAGTGTGGGCGCACCAGAGGAGGGTGCACGACCGTGTGCAGTACCTATCTGTAGACCAGCGGATAGCACATTGGATCACCATTAGCCGTGAATGATATATCTGCTCTCAGCCTATAGGAAGTCGGTGTCATTGGTGTGCCGAGTCAGCTGTTGGGAGCTTTTTCGTAGACAATGTGTCCAGAACCGGAAGCCCGTTCTTAAACCGGCCAGGGTTAATTTGGGACCTATGTAAGTGTCAAAAGAAAGTCTGCATTTGAAGTCATTTTAATTTGAAAATAGCCTCATTGGATTCCCAGCATTTCAGGAAAACAGCTATTATGACGAATAATACATTCTCCGAATTTCGTGTTTCTGGCCTCACTGGAAGTAGGAAATGAAATATCATTCGTCGTCCCCGGGTGCCTCTTTGTGAGACCAGCTCCAATTTAGCCCGCGCCGTGGCACATGGACCACTCAGAACACCGAGTGGAGTGCAGAACCCTCTCCGGCGCCCTCACCAAGCCTCTTACGCAGCTCTCGCGGCCAAAATAGGGAGAGGCGACACAAGAAGTTCGCCAAAAACATTAGACAAGTGCTCCGGTCTTTTTGGTCCAACTCGAATAGCAAGTCATCATGCGTCAACCAAGGCTAATTTTACACGAATTTAACATTATCATAAAACAAGTTTTGTGTTGAACAATTTTCCAACATTGCTAAATATATTTATATCATAATTACTACCACCATTGTAGTTTTCTCATTCAACACTCAAAGTTGACCCCATGAGACAGATATAGATCATGACATAACCGTGCAAACCATCCTGCTGCGCACCAGTCAATTTGTCGAAATAAAAACAAATGTGTTGATTTCCCGTCTGTAACATGTCTCTGTCAAGCGTATTTACTGCGCGGGTAATGCTGTGTGTATGTATACTCGTATGTCATCTACCCGGTCGAAGTTTATTCCCTCGGCGCTGCAATAGTGTAACAACAATACCGCGGGTTAAGTCAACACCAGGCTGAGTACAATGGCGGAGATGAGATGGACCAGATACCTACAGGGTGTCCGCGTTAGTAATGGCCATTAGTGAATGACAGGAGCCCGGAACAAACAAGCGCGGAACATTCGCGGAGTACGAGTCACTGGGTGAGCATCTGACTCACCGAGCCGCTGTGTGAACCTCTAGCTCACCGTGAGTTCTGAGTCGCTGTGCGAGCCTCTACTCGTAACTCATCGTGCCCTGAGCCGCTGGGTGAACCTCTAACTCACCGAGTTCTGAGCCGCTGTGTGAGCCTCTAACTCCCTGAATTCCTGAGTCACTGGATAAACCTCTAGCTCACCGAGTCCTGAATCGTTGTGTGAGCCTCTATTCACTGAGCCCTGAGTCGCTGCGAGTCTCTAACTCACTGAGTCACTGGGCGAGCCTCTCACTCAATGAGTCGCCGTGTGAGCCTCTAACTCACCGAGTCCTGAGTCGCTGAGTGAGCCTCCCACTCACCGAGTCCTGAGCCGCAGACGGCGATACCGGTGGCGAACGATCGTTTCTTCTCGAAGTAGCAGGTGACGCTAACAATAGCTGGCAGGTAGATCAGGCCCAGTCCACCGCCTGAGAATAGTCGACGGATCATCAGTTACAGCCGCTCCCACACGGCTGCCGCTGCTAAATCGAATTAAGATACAGTAAACGGTTCAGCGAAGCCTGAGATGGGATTTCAAAGTGTGGTAACAGAATCATCATAGAGCTTGTTACGAAACAAGATGCTAAAAATGAATAAGGAGAAAGAATCTAGGCATTCAGCAACCGAAACTATCTCGTCATTGTCAATCCAAATTTATTTCTCTGCGTATTTATGCATCAAAAAAGCCAAATAAATCAGGCGAGAGAAAGCTAATCTTCACACACATCGGTAAAAGGTCAAGCCGCTTAGCCCCAAGCTCTTTTTGACGCAAACCTCTTTCGAGAGCGACATGGTCTGAATTAGCTGATTGACGTTTCCAATTATACCGGGGCAGGTCAGCGCAGACATCGCCAGTATTCGGTAACAGCAGCGACTAAAAAGACGAGCACCGTAGTGACAACTCCGATTGATTGGCGCATTTGCTCAACACAATCCCGACTGGCTGCCACACTCACTCAACACAAGCCCGATTCGCACTTACCGAGCACCAATCCGATGGTGACGTACATGACCTGGACGCTCTGTGCGAACGTGGTGAGCACGAACCCGGCTCCCCCGACAAAAGCGCCGGCGATACAGACGGCTCGGCATCCGTACCGATTCACCAGACCGCTGACCAGAGGGCCTATGGAGCACGAAGAGCTAATGTCAGTATACCTATAGGCGTCAGTCAGTAATATAGGGAGGGAGACAATGTCAGTGTACGTCTGTCAGTAACGGGATGACAGTATGTCAGTATATACGTTTGTCGGGAACGGGGTGACAGTATGCCAGTATGTCAGTATACGTCTGTCGGTAAGGGAAGGGGCGACGCCAGTATGCGTCTGAAAATATTAGGACGTAAATATCAGTATAGTACTGCCAATAATAGGATGTAAATTTAAGAATAGGACTGCCAATAATAGGATGTATGTAAATGTCAGTGCCCACTACCTACAGTCTGTCGGTAAAAGGACGTAAATGTCGGTATAGTCTGTCGGTAACGAGGCTCCAACGTAGCTGGCTCAGCATGAGCACACAACATCAGAACATGAATGTCAGTATACGCTAGGTCTGCCGGTGACAGGATGGTAACGTTATTAAATAATAAATACGTCTGTCGGCACTAGGACGGTGATGTCGCTACATCTGCCTGCTGGTAATGGGGCGTAAATGTCCTCATTGACGTCTGTCGCTAATAAAGGACGTCCATGTTTTTACGGCTGCCCGTCAGAGAATGACAAAGTGGTCGCCTCCATGGTAATCCGATTTAGATTAAGTCCAAATAGCGGCATTGACTCCAGCTGTCGCCAGCTCCTTGCAACACTCACCTGCTCCGAATGTAACGCCCTGCATAATCGACGCGATCCACGACGTTTCCGCCTTGGTCGAGCCAAAGTTTGTTGTGATATCCATGTAGAAAATGCCGAACGTGTACATAACGCCGTCAGCTGGAAAGACACGAGCAGATGGACCACATGTCAGAGGGACGAAAAGGCGGGGCCTGTCAGTGTCAGGCGTTGGACGGCCCCTCTGACCCTGCAGCAGCGGTTCAGATGAACCACAGAAGCACATGAAAACAGATTAAAATATGACCTAACATGTCAACAACAGATTCGAGAAGATATGCATCAGGGACGTTAAATGCTTGGTAAACGGTAAACACGCATGTTGCGTGACATTGGATTCCCTTCACACTGAAAAACAACCCCGAATGAGTCCCCCAATGACACCATCGTAATCCGCATAATCTAGGAAAAACAATCACTTGTTGTACCGGCGCAAATGCTGTTTCGACATGCTGTTATTTGTCACGTAAAATAACAACGGATTAGGTAAGTCGAGGTACTTTTTTTTTATTCATCACCCTTCCAACGGGCCGATATGCCCATTTACAGGAAGGCTCCTGCTCCTCCAACCTACATACCCCTCCCCCCTTAGTCTTTTATTCGCCCCCCTTAGTCTACTTAGTCTTTTATTCGCATTTTATTCGCATCCGTATCGTATTATTTAATATTTGGAGTATTTTATTCGTCTGCTTGGCTACTTGGTTGGTTCTACTTGGTTTGGAGTCTACTTGGTCTTTTATTCGTGTTTAATTCGTATTCGCGTATCGTATTATTTAATATTTGGAGTCTTTATTTCGTACCCATATCAATTGTTTCATCAAGTTTTGACGTAAAAAGGAGAAACGTGTCGAGGTTGAGACGGCTATTACCATTGTACAACTTATACCGATTAAAGCACAAAAGTAAATGTTCGGTTGGGAAAACCAAACAGTTGCTTATATGTTCATGTTGGAAAAACAAATGCGGTGAATAAAACACAGTTGTGCATTAAATATTGTTTTAAAATGTATAACAGAAAACTATTACGGTCACAAGAAAGCCAGCAAGAAAACGCCCGGCCAGTGGGCAGCGCGTCCATGAATCCCGCGGGACCCAACCATGCATAATTATTATTCTTGTTTTTAATGTTATTTTACCTGTCACTGGTCATAATACTTATTGAGCTCGTTGAACCAAGTTGAGCGGAAAACATCATAGCCATTTTGTTTAGACATGCTTAAGTTTTTTTTTGCGCCAGCTACAAGTTATAGCTAATTTCAACAGTTCTTTTTGGTAGGTATATTTTTATTGTTGTCAGTGCTTGTCTACAAATGCCACTCGACACACCGATACTATACATAAGTGCGACCCAGTCCCACATGACTTGGAGAGCACGACCTGACCCATTGACCCACAAATGAGAATAAACGTCAAAACATGGCATGGTACCCATCTATACTATGTAGGGCTTGTGTCAAGATAAAAGTAAAAACATCCGGGTCTTAGCTCGGCAAAAAAGAGCTGCTGGAGAGTGCATCTCACGGAAACGGTTCCACTGGGAGTCCTGTCATAAACAGCCTCACTGTTTACAAATATCGTCGTCTGGGCATTCTGGGTCAGCGGTGTGAGTGGCCGCCGGTGGCACTGTGCCAAAAATGGAGCACACAGAGACCGCGAACCCGGCGCCACGGAACCACAGCGGCAGCCTGGGGGCCAGAGAGCAACATGGACGGGTGGGCGGCGGTGGGAGGCCTGTAACCCCCCAATGCCCTCCAATTATCGGATAAAAGTCACATAAGTGTCCACGAAACGATTCAATATTTCAGCTTTCGATGGAGCTCGTGGCACCTAAGCGATGGCACAATTATCATTCAAACATAATATGCCCAATCATTTGGAACAAAGGCGCCCGGCGTCCACGCTGACGTTGTCTGGTAGAAGTGTGAGTCACCGCCACCGTGCCGGGGTGGGAGGGGGAGGGAGCTGTTCCTGGATGCCGCTATGTGGGAGCGAGCGAACCGAGTCAGGCGGCTGGCGCGTGGCGGCGCTGGCAGGCCTGAACTCAGCCGTCTGTCGTCAAAAATGACAGAATTCCGAGCACTGCGGACTCGGCTGGACTGCGTCGCGCCGGTTGGACCGCGTCTTGCAGCCAGAGGTGTCCCCCTTCCTCCTTCCCCCGCCAGTCCTGGCACCGAGCCAGTGACCCAGCTGACCCACAGAGGGCCGCCAGTGAGCGGAGGTTTTTGTGAGACCCAGTCCTGCCGCAGTGCATGCTCCATATACTGACGTCCCAGACGAGTCTGTGACAACAAACAACTACAATCGGTCCAGCAGAGGCGCTGCCAGCACCCACAAAAAGGAAGAAATTAGTCACGGACAGACTGTATGGATGACAAGTGTGTTTTTAAAGTAGAATATAATATATTCACCCGGTGAAACAGGAGACGGGTGGAGGCTGAGCCAACTTCGCCCCTTGGTGGAAACAAAGAATGGCCAAAAGGTCTCCTTTAAATTTTCGACTCGATCACTCGAAGATCAGGAAATTCAGTGCACTGACGGCCACATAAAACTTTCGCTCATTTTTACCGACCGTGATGCATGGGACAAACATTTTTTCATATCTTAGCAGTTGGCACGTTTCTAATCACAAAAAGTCGGTAGACGCACGAATACTGCTACGCCGACATACGTGTATACTGTATACCGAATCGCAATTCCGGCCGGACCTGGGGCCGTATTCACGTCGACTTCGTAAGTCGATTTTCTTTCGTAAGTATAATTTGGTATTCACGTCGACACTTCTTAAGTTTTTGTCGACGGAGTTCACGTGAATAAAAAAATTTACTTAAGAAGTAGGTCAAACTTAAGAAAATTCTTACGAAAATGATCGACGTGAATACGGCCCCTGGTTTCGGAGAAACAGGTCACAGGTGAGAGCTCAACTGGGTCAGGGTCCCGGCCATGACATTTTTGGGGTATGTGTAAGATCAATTAACTTGAGGGTACTTAAAGCTTCGTTGCAATCGACCGTCTCATAAGCGAGTTATTCGTGTAAAACCTAAGTGTCCATCCGAACCCCTGCAAATCCGAGGGTTAATCGAAGGTCAGGTATGCCCATTTTCATCTCTCAGTCGGTACTGCGTTGTGCGCAATCGCGAACAGGCGTTATGGACATGGATGGAACCGGTGAAGTAAACGCCCAGCTTCCCAGCAAGTCGCGGACAAAATTATCATTCCACAGCATTTCCAATTCTCAACGCCGTTCTTCGAGCGCGCAGCTCGTTGTATGGCGAACGCTGGCACATGGGGACAAAGGGAGGAACACTCATTGGAAGGGAGGGGGACGTGTCTGCCTTTGTCCCATGCCTCCGTCGATCACATCCCATTCGGCAGCAGGCTAAAAAAGGTATCGGGAATCGGGCCTGACCGGACTGAGACGGGCAGTCGCACCGGTGCATGCTTACTAACTTCACAGCCAAAAGTCATTAATTTGTGACTTTCTGACAAGCTCTGCAAGAATAATCAGTTAAATCTGTTATCACAGGGTGACCTACTTCAGCTACTCGCGGCGGCTAATTGGGCCAGGACGGGTGCCTTGAACAAAGGACTCGGCAGGTCATTTGAATAATGGCTGAAGAAAGACGGTGTGGGATCAATACTTCCTACTTACGCATGTAATGAAACCAGTCTTCCTATTCAGAAAGTGATTGTGACGCTGCATGGGTCACAGCTAGTGACAAGGACGCTGGAATATAACAAAGGATTTTGAACTCGTGAACATCTTCGGTGTTTTCTCTTGTTATAGCACAAAACAACTCTTACGATCATAAAATAAGACGAGTTCGACGAGGCTCCGAGGCAATTATAAGAAAATAGTTCACTTACCTATAACGTGAATCATGAAAGACGCGAAGACGACCATCCATCCCCAGCCACCGTCGGGCGGTACGGGCATGTTCCACTCATCGTCTTCGGGCTCTTCGGAGAGGGCCCGATCGCTAGCCACCACGGCGCCATTTTTCGCCTCCTTGGCCGCCGGTTTGCCGTTGGCTGCCTCCGGTGCAGCGGTCGCACCGCTCTGGGAGTCCATGGCGGTGAGGTACGGCCGACGCCTTCACAGGGCCAAGTCCAGCCGACATCTGAGGTCCCAGCGGCGGCCGATCAGCTGACCGACGGCGGTGCGCAGACGCGCTGGGCCGCGCCGCTCCCAGCGCGCAGCCAGATATCGCGATTGTGATCGACCGTCGGCCGGTGACGGGGCTGTGGCGCCGTACGGGCGCTCGTGCCGGCCGCCCGGCGACACATCGATCCTGCCAGGTGGCAGCCGGTGGCTGGGAGAGCCCACGTCGGACTGCCGCTCCGCACGTGGGCAGCCGCCCGAGCACTAGGTCAAAGTGAAGTGGGCAGAGCGATACTTCACTGTGGTATGTAGCTAGACAGGTAAGATTGAGTTTATCGCTGCATTCAAAATGTAATATTCAGTAAACGTCGCACGAGCAGAAGGCTAGTGAAGTCGAAGCCGGTCAAAGCAGGACCTTGAAAGTCCCAAGGCCGAAATGAAACTGATTGCTGACTGATTGCCAAAGCTTGCCACCGAGATAACGAACTGTAACATTTCAGCATGTGCCTTGTTTCCAAGCATCCCCACATAAAAGTATTTAATTCGTGATTCATTGCATTCATTTCGAATGTCCTGTTTGACGTCGCATTTCGCATGAAACTCTGAAGATGCTAAAGCGAAAAATATTAACGTCTTTCTCCATTGCGTTCCGCCTCAGCATTTACCTTTTATGCTACTGTGCTGTACGTATTTCCAAGTAACGTATTGATTGCTGATGCAAATAAAACATGCGAGCAAAAGCGTTTTTCAATGCTTATGACGGTTGACAGCTGGTCACCGGGCTGCGTGATCGATAGACTGAGCTTTGTCGCAGCCAGCACAAAGAAGCGACGGCGCCGAGCACGGACAAAGTCGATGTTCCATCAAGGCACATCCAACGGCACATTCACTTCGTCCGTGCCCGGCTTGCCGACATCAAAAGCTTCCACCGAGAAGTAAATGAAAGCCCTGTATGCTCCCGGATTTAAGAGCGGCTTTCCGCTGGGCCGCTGGATCAACGCCGCCTTTTGAAGTTGGCCGCGAGTCCATCAAAAGAGGTCATACTCGCATATGTATACTGTTAGACACCTGCGATGATAAAGTAAAGCAAAAAAGGTACCTAATGAAAATTGTATCATAAAGACACGCTTTGTGCCTTTTCCGTGTAGGTATGTTTTATGAGAATCAACTTTCTGGTCGTAGTTTATTTCATGTCATAGTTGATGTCGTTCGGAGTCACACATGAAAATAAAAGAGGGCGTAATAAGTAATAACGCATTGTACCATTGGTCCTAAAACGAGGAAAAGTTATTGCAACTGAACTGATAGGTTTATGAGGACAATAACGCTGAGGGAAAACGCTTCAAGTTATTTCCCTTGACAACGTTAAAAAATCGTTGTTAAAAAGACATCCATTTGATTTACGAAGAAACAATGAAATAAAAGCCAAAGGATACCAGTTCAAGATGTTTTAGTATCCGCCTATAAAATATGTACGGTATAATTTAACCCACCGGACACTCAGAAATCACGGAAACAAATGGCTTCCTTTTCTAGCTATTACGTGGATAATTTCGTTATTGGTTCGTATGATATGCTTGTGCCTGCTGCTTGCATACATACATTTTGATAACCGATTTCACTTTTTTCCATTACCTCATACCCGATGTATTGCATTTTAGTGCATTCAGAATCGACATTGGCAGACCGGAAAAGGGGTAACAAACGATTATAATCCTATTAATAATCTATAACGTGTAGGTAGTTAAGTAACAACAAAATGACTATGAAATTGCACTCATAAGGTTAAGCACTAACAAAATATATAGCTCGTCAGATTGTTTTCTTACAGACAATTAAAATACAATAACAATATAAATAAAGCCAGACGCTTCGGACAACAAATGCCTTCGTTTGCGCCAACAAATCACTACAGTTTGCATCTGTAGTGTAGTGTCAAAAGCAATCCATCATCACGGCCTTCCTATCGAATGGCCGCGCCGCCCGGCCGTCCGTCTGTGACTGTAACTATGTGAGTATTTGCCGGCGGCTCGTGGCCACGAGGCGGTAACTACAGCCACGAGCCAGTGACCCGCATCCGTCCGCCCCGTCCTCTCTCCTATACAGACACACGCACAGGCGCTGGATATACGGTACGGGGCGACCAGCGACGAGCCACGCCGCCTCCTAACCCGGCCGGGCCCGGGGGGTAATCCCAACCACCGCAGCCCGGGGGGGGGGGGCGTTTTTCGCCCCCCCTGTCTAACTCCGTAAATAAGGGAGCTACGGAAACAAAAGCGATACCAAACGAAAGGTCCTTACGAGACGATTCTATTGCACCTAAAATTTTTGACCTCAGGTCATTTTTCAAGGTCAGAGGTCAAGGTCAAAGGCCAAAACCGGCACATGTGTAGTGATCTCAAAGTAAGCCTTCTAGAGGACGGCAGGCTGCATCAAACCGGCAAAATTGGGTGTCAAACGAAAGAAGAGAATCTGAGGATTCTGAAAATGTGCTCCAAATCAAAGGTCAAGGTCAAGGTCACGCTCAAAATTAACCTCAAACTTGGCACTTTTTCGCACATCTTGCCTGCTAACTTCCAAGATGTTTTGAAATGTTTTGAGGCTTATCAGTTCCCTATTTGTGGTTCATCTTACGATACAAGGCTGCTCAAAGGTCAAGGTCACAGAAGAGTATCCCTGCTAGAGGCTATTTCACTGATTCAAGTTAGTAATAATAAATAAGACAATTTTGCCATCCGGGAGCTCTAAATGAAAGCTTAGAGGAAAATAGATGTCAGATTCGTGATCAGCGGGTACAAATCCATCATAAACGACCTTTCATGTGTCAAGGTCAACCAGAGGTCATTCGAGGTCACATGAGGTCAACATGAAACTTGACCTTTTCCGAACAAAATATACATCATTCGACGCGGCTTGACAAGGCGAATGCGATGGTACCACTGCCGTAGCTCTAGGACCATTTTTGTCGAAGTTATTTGCGAAAAACTAAAACCACATTTTGGGGTCGTTGACCTGACCTCTGACCTCAGGTCACCAAAACTATTTTTCTATTTTTCTCTAGGTCAAATGCTACACAGCCGTGCTCGTAATTTGTCTTTATCTCTAAAACTCTATTTTTAGCAGCTATTTGAAGTTTGCGTCTGTGACGCCGAAGTTTGCCGTGCAGGGGTCTAGAAAAATGGACCTTGTGACGTCATCAAGGGGGCTAGGTCCAAACTTTTTACTTCAGAAGATGTCAAATTGATGGGAGAAAAGGTACTGAAAGTTTCGCCTTCCTATCCCTAAGCGTTCGGGAGTTATCGCAAATATTCGCCAGGGGGGCGAAAAACGCCCCCCCCCCGGGCCCGCGAGGGCTAATGTGTCGCCAGTGGTGTGCGCCGCCGCACAGACGCGGGACTTTGTCCTCTCCAGTCATTGCGGCCAAAAAGAGCCGCCACACAGGAAACGAGGCGGGACAGACGGCGCCTGAATAAACCTCATCACGGCCGGTTGGTAGGGCGCGGTGACGTCACCTTCCCCGGACGTAAAAACAGGTCTGGTGATGATCACAGGCAGAACAGTCGTTCACCTCAGTCGGTCATTGTACGTACACTGTTGACTGTACTGTGCGCGCTGGCTTAGAAACATCAAATAATGCTAAGTTCCTTAATAAGTTTTTTTTTAGCTACAGTTACGTTTAGCAAGCCATATATAATATGGAACGTCTTACAGTTCACTTTATGTACGCATACATACGCATACATAATGCATGATGCATGGTACATATAACATAATGCATTTTTAGACAATATAGTCTCTCGGATAAATAGTTCTTCTCTTAGCAGGACATATATTTCATCGCTAACAGCAGGGGATCCGCTTTCAGACGAAGTCCAGCACTTGTTAGTAGTATGAGATGAGATGTACGACATCTTGTCATCGTTAGTACGGCCAACATGCAGCGCATACAGAGAAAACAGACGCCTCAAGGCACAAGATGAATGAGATGAAACAAAAACAAATACAGGCCAGCTAAGCAAACACGTCAGGTCTTAATTAACACTATACATGAGAATGATCTCATATGTTTTAAAGAATGCACTTTGCTAGGGCTAAGTTCACCAAGATCTTTGTCAACACACGCTTCCGGCGAAATATTAGACGATTTATATTCCTCGTTAGGAATTAATATCCAGAACAAAGTCGGACCCTTTCTGTGCTTACACATTAGCACTTGAAAAACACGTGGAGGGAAAATTACGCAAGGCTTGACAAGTTGATTGTCCAATGTCCATAAACGCTGCTTTAATGGGTGCAGTGCACATACGTTTTGCGTGCGGACGGCGGTAGGTTTTAATGAGTGAGGGATGGCGACGAACGTGCATGCAAGGATTAGCAAACTGTAGCTGCTGTAGGTACTGGATTACCGCATAGCTGTCGTAGATATCTATTATAGGCACCAAGCTACCTACCTATTTAGTAAAATATATTGATATACGTTGCATTAATTAATACATTTAATTATTGTTTGGCAGGCAGCGGAAAGTCTTTTGAGAATTTAGTTATCAAACAGCCACAGGACCGTCTAAAGTGGCTGAAACATTGCTGCAGTCGCTGGCAGGGCTGAGACTCGTCACTGAGAGACTAGTCTCTGACAGTCTGATCTCCGGTCTGTTTAAATTGACAGCTGAAGGCCGATCCATTGCCCTCCGCTGCTTCCATCCACGAATCCCGCCTATTTCTCTGTCTGTCTGTCTGTCTGTCTGTCTGTCTGTCTGTCTGTCTCCCTCCATCCCTCCCTCCCTCTCTCTCTCCCTCTCTCTCTCTCTCTCTCTCTCTCTCTCTCTCTCTCTCTCTCTCTCTCTCTCTCTCTCTCTCTCTCTATTTGTCCATGCCTTTTCGTATGTCACTCTGGGACCCAAACTGACGTCTGGGCTGCCTCGAGTAACTGGCAGCACGGTCACTTTGTACGGTCTCTCTTATGACTCCCAGAAGCTCGTAAGCTGGGATATTACTGCTGAGTGTCCGGCTGTCGCTCTGAAGACCGCTACTGCTGCCGCTGCTGGTATATCCGATGTAATTGCCGCTGGTGAGAGACCGCCAGTTTGGCCAGGATTCTTTATACAGATAGGTCAGCCAACGTATGTATATAATTGTACAGACAGTGACCAGACTCTCAACTCACCTCTTAGTAGGTAATCACGGCACTCGCTCTCTGTTCACCTCACGTGCTGCCGTCTCTACATAGGCGCACCACCCGGTCGACGGAGGCGGGCGCTCTTGAGCTGCCCGCCTTTCGCTTGTCATCGTCACGCCGGGTTTTGGTATTCTCGTACCGGGCAGCCTCGTCCTGGAACCGCCTGTCGCCGGCCGTCACTGGCTCTGGGACCCGCGCCGAATTTCTGCGTCGGCTTTATCTGTATTGTGTGACGATGGTCGGCAACTGTACATGTACTGTATTTTAGTGATTTTTTATGATGTGTTCCTGTTTTATCCTTGTGCCCTTATATATTCTGACTCGGACCAAACAGTAAGCCAGCACTTGGAATTGTCCGTAAATACATTAAACTTATTTTGAACTTAAGGGTGCAGTGTCGACGGTCCTAACCTTTTGCTGACCAGGCAAGTGACCCCAGTCACCCTACTACCAATTATTGAGGGGATCACTTGAAATGAGGCATTTGTTTGACAAATAAAACAGCGGAAGGCCTGGTTAGCGTCTGTATGTTTATATTCAGAGAAAACTCGTGGATAAATGACGCAAGAGCTTGTAATACGACTTTGTAGCTGGTATGCTAATACGGTTTGATGTTATCATAATTATGGCATGTGCAATGAATACATTTAATTAATTCCATGCTACTCCTCTAATTCCACTCATATGTTCAATTAATCATTCGACACCTATTACTAGGAATTTAAACACACACTTACGCAAAAGTACACGTGGGAGTCCGACATCAAGACTAAATTGTTCGTTCTTGTTATGGTAGTTTCATAAACCTCGTTTCCATGCACTGTTGGTCCAGCGATGATAACCGGCCTCGCCAGTTTCATGCAAGTTTCATGTTGAGAAGCCTGCCGCTGCAGATTACCGTCTGTCTCCGGGCCACTCTTCAGGCATCTATTGACACAAGCATGCTATCAATCTGGATCAATCTGGTTTATCTAGCGCCATTATAGAGTCAACTATCGGCTCATCCTGGTGAAGTGATCTGTTCCCGGTAGGTCCGTTCGAGTGTTGACTTGCCGAGTCTATCATGCAGTGCCGGTGTTTGTAAGTATGTATGCACATTGCACATACGGACACTTGAGGAACAATGGCACGGTATTCTCGTTGCATGGCAGCCAGAAGACGAAGCATTACTGACTACGTTTCGTTATCGATATTCGATACCTACACTTGACTTAAATTAGAACTGACCTGTTGTTTGTGACCGAACGTCGGGCCATATCCAGACCATTCTTATATCCGGGGAACCTTTATAGTTTTTGTTTCCGCTTATCATTAAGAATCAAAATGGATCAAATTCGGTGCAGTGTTATGACAGGTCGTGATTGTGATGCTACACTCTTTCGGATTAGGCATAAGTTGGAACTGACCTGACCTGGAGCTGACCTGCTGACTTGCGAACGACTGATGAAAAAATGATGCCCTTTATATTTGCAGCCTGAAGGCATTGGAGGTGTTTGCCGTTTATCCTTTTTTGCGACCACCCCAGTTGGAATTGAAACATCGGGGAGCGCTTCATGCTCCCCACCCTGAATTGCAAGCGACGAGCACCGAATTCCTACCCTCCCGCCATCGTTCAGACAGAGGGCAACCGTTCACCGCTCGTTGTGCCAGAACGCACACCAGCACTCCCTGGCGGCGAAGCCGGACAGCGGTAGTTCGGAGAGCTCCCGGCGCCGTGGTAGGTAGCGCTCTGTCCCAGTTACGCCAGTGCCACCTAGGACCCTCAGACATTCGGTGACGAGTGAACACGCCATTACAGCGAGTGAACACATCTGATTACTAATTCAGCGACCCTTGCGATTAAACTGAGCTGCAGCACTTCAGTAACTGCCTTTTACGTCCTGCACTACCCGAGGGTCCGACCTGGGGATGCTCTGTCTGTCGATACTGGGGTCTAAGGCGATGTGATGGCACTGGACGTTTCCCTTTTTAACAGTGGTTCAGTAGGTATGTGGAATACGGCTGATTGAGAGCCCTTCAGACGCCTATAGGGTCTATATAAGTGAGATGACAGAGAATGTCCCTTACAGCTAGAGCTAGGTGTCGCCGAGCATTCTCTATGCAGCTAAGCCTTAGAGTAGAGATGACTGATGGGGAGTGCTGTCGCAGAGCGGGTAAAGGGAAGGGACTTCTACTGGAGCCCTCAGTTTACCGGCATTTGCAGCATCTGTCGGAACTCTCGAGAAGGCGCAGCTCTCTCCAGTCAACCCAGGTGCTTTATGCGCGGCTATGTCACTGTCGGTATTAGTTTAAGTATCGTGCGCTGGAGCTGCGCCATCGCGCCGCATGTTGCAACGTTCCTAAAAGCGTCGGCGGGGCTGGCAGGGCTCCAGCGGTGCCCGGCCCGCTCCTCCGCGAACCGCCGCGGTTGCACGGGGAGGGGCGTCTTTGTGCGCCGTCGTCCACGCCGGCTCCACCCCTGGGCAGCGTGAAGGGCGCACAAAGGTACCCACTGCGTAAGACTGAAAGAGAACCGTCTACCTGTAGGCGATAACGTTACTCACTGGGTGCAAGTTTTTTGTGTGTTGTTTTATCATTATCATTATTTTGTTTTATCATTTTATCATCTTTACACTGATATTTCAGCATGTGCTTGTTACATGAAGTCGGTGTTAGATGATCACAATGCCGAATACATCAAGTCGAGTTCTGTTGAGTGCGGAATACCGATTAAATAGCTAGATCATGACTGCTGAAAATTTGCCTATCCTGGAAACGATATGTTCAATTTTCAATGTCTAGCTTTTGCCTTCGGATCAAAGTCATAGCTATAAAAACTAATGGTGCAGATGAGCCATTTCGTCGTGCCAGGACATCAAAGCATGGAAGGAGTGTCCAGCCTCTTACGCACCTAGGTATTTTTTAAATTTTTTGAAGCATAACCGATTTTAATGCTTATAGGTATTGGCCTGTAATTTATACGCCTAGTCCCGCGAATGGCTTGATGGGATTGCTAAACGTTTAAAATATTTTGAACATTGGCGAAAAAAAAATATTTTGCGGAAAACTGAGTTTCGGTTGGATAGGTAGGAGGATGGGAGGTAGAGGGATTACCTTTAACATCAACTCACTGCGACGGCATGGTGGAACTTCAAGCAGGCGTCACCTTTTCTTCCTTTAAATTAATTTCCAACGTGATTGATGTTATTCAGAGAAACCTCTCCGTTCCAATATTCGCCACGTTCTTTTTATGCGTTCCGTCGTTTCGCTCCCGCTGCAGACAGCTGAACGGCCCCGTTCTGCCAGCGTCGCTCACCTCAGCCGCTGACCTGCAGCGACGCGGTGTGACAGCCGCGTCACTGAGCGACCGCGGGAAACGGCTGGAAGATTTGGCTCCGGTCTTAGCAGAGAAGAACTAAGGTCAGCGTCACGCAGAGGCGGATCAGGTGGAACGGAATGCCTGCTTGGCGCCGTGACCATTTAAAGCGAAACCTCCCTAGCGTTGCAGCTGTCAGTCCAGGCACGAACTGTATGAAACGACGCAACGTCATCGTTCTACGGAGTCGATGCCGACGTGCTCAGGAAATACCGATGGCGCAGGTGAGGTTAGTTGGCCGACAGCAGAGGGTGTCACCCCCTGACCTGTCGTTTCAGAGTTGGTCGCCATCCAAGACTATGATGGACGTCGTCCATCATAATAAATTGAGCAGCATTCAGCTATGGTTTACCGGTGGAACAAAGTCCACCGGAGCAGTCGCTGCTCAGCACCACGGGTTCAGCAATTCGACTCGCCGGATTGGTCTCGTCGGAACATTTATACACTAAGGCGTCAGCATAACACGCATACACTTGGACAGGCCAGCATCCTACGTTCATCGTCACAGCATACAGATACATGTCACGGCACTTAGCAGCTTCTAAGGCACGGCTACATCAGTAATGTGATGGCAATAACTACTTGTGATTATCCAGCATTCATCGACGGCAACATTATTGCAACGGAATACACACTGCGCTGCAGTCGCTAAATTGATCGGAAAGGCTCTCAGTCATTGTGCCCATGTAACAACGCGTAAAACAATCCTATAAATGTCCAACCATCAGACCGTCACAAAGTTCAACACTAAATATACAAATCGAGTATAAAAATGAGCCTTACAAAAGGCGCGGCATTTTACAGCGCGTCATGCTGCGTGGCGGAGGCATATAGGGCCTTGCGTGGCGGATACTGGCCGCAATGGACATTGGACACGGGGCCTTATAAAGTCGCGGCCAAAACCTGCCGTCGACCGCTAGCCAATGGAAAGTCGCACATTCATTCACCACACATTTAGTCAAGCGTGCGTATAAGCGACTATCGTCACCTCATAACGGCATATTGGAACAGTGAAAATGATTGCGCACCGGCTATTGCTTTTCTATCTAAAAGCTTGTATATTTATTACATACAAAACATGGTGCCTGCGAGCGAGTGGAAGCGTTTTAATAGAGAATTAAACCGCCGTTTGTCTGCCGCAGCCACTGTGATACAGCAGCACGCAAGTGCCAGCCAGCTGTGACTTTTTCATCTCGCTTCAACCGCGTCAGAAGACGGATGCTTTATCCACTGGGCCACACGGAGGACATACGTATATGTGGCTAGTAGGCACTTACATTGTTACAAAATATTGTCAGTTTCCGTATGAATGGCTTCATGTGGCGCTTCGAAGTTTAATAATTAAATAAGAAGTAGAATAGTAGTTAGGACAATTGATTTCAACACGAACCGTTGCGATAGATATTGTGTTTTTGGGGAAATCTAAAAAATAACTGGATATGGCAGGTGAAAAACATTATGTGTGAAAGCACCTGTAACGAAACACAGCAGAAACACTGGAAGTTGCGCGAAAAAGGATTCAGAGAGAGATCGCGGAAATAAGCATTAGGAATGCAACTCAAATAGTCAGGGTGGATTCATGAATAAATTTCGAAGATTCTGTTGTTTGACATGTGGTTTCAAGACTTCACGAAGGATGTGCTTAAATAAAACAATAAATAAGTGTAATATGTACAGTGATTAAAACACGTCGGACAATATGCTGACTTGTCACCGCGCGGTGAGTCTGCTGGCTCGATGAGTCAGGTGCGGCCGTCCCATTCGGTCCGAGTTGGGCGCGCTGGTCAGAGGCCGGGAGTGTCCGCGCTGGACAACCGCGGTCCGAGAATTGGCCATCCGTCCGTCCACGGACAGGGCAGCACGAGCCACCGCAACTGCCAGCCGCATTGACGCGTCTCACAGCTGAAACACAACCGGGAGAGTCTGTAAGCCTCCGTGTCACTGCATGACCGTCCCGCAACCTTACAGTCTTATATTTAATGGGAAATGATCAGACCGTGAGCAAAAACGTGGGTGGGAGACGGTGTGATTATTGATATAGGATGGTGTGGGAATCTCACTGAAATCGGGCTTAATCGATATGCCGCAGTACAAATGCTCTTCTTCCATAGTCTGGATGTAGTAAAAAAATCTTGGTCTGGATAGCCCGGATAGCCCCAGTGCAGCGGCGGCAGCGGCCGCCCCGGCGCGGCTGGCTGCAGCCCGTGTGAGCGGTGATACTGCGCCGCCGAGCTCGCAGGAACGGCGGTACAGTCTGCCTCCCCGGCGCGCCGGCAAAACGATGGACCGAGCACGCCGCGCTCAGCGGCCGTCACGGGCCACCTGTTTTATTTCGTTCACATTTCACAGCCCTCACTGGCGATCCAGTGGGGACATTTGGGACATTTGTACCCCTCCCCGCGGCGCCCGAAATCGACGATAATTTATGACTTTTCAAGGAAAAAAAACAACTTTTATTCGGGAAAGTTTGTTTTTAACTGCACACTGCATAGCAGCAGTGTTGTGCAGTTAGGTAATCCAAAATCCGATGAGCTTTCGGACATCGGAGACACTGTTTTGGGGGGTAAGTTCCCGCAGGTTCCAATACCGCTTTTTTATCCACCCGTGACAGCCCTTTTCACTTGTATGGAAGCAGAGCTGTCGACTTTATGTGTTATGCGCCATCTCGTGGTATATAGCGCCTAGTGAAAGATATGATTTCAGAGGATGATCAACCGACTTTTTTGGCGCTAGTTCATGTAGCTCCCACCTACTCCAGCTCAGTCTGTTGCAGTAATAACCATGTTCCATATTTTCGTGAATCGGGTAAGCCAACCGAATATCAAATATTTGATTCGATTTATCTCTGCTTACATAAGTTTCAGCACAATCTTTAAATATTGATTTTTCATAGTTTTATTGACGAGCATTCGAATATAGATTGCCGTCTGTCAACACGAGTTCCAGGGGGCCGGTTAGTCAGAAGGGGGCCTAAAACTGCTACCGCGATACGTGAGCTGGGTGCCGCTGGCCCTGACCTTTTCCTTGACCTGGGGAGGAGAGGGGAGGGGAAGGGAGGGAGGAAAGGAGGGGAAGGGTGCGTGCCTGGTGGTGAAAGTCTGTAACCAATGCCAGCGGATCGAACAGGTGTCGAACTATAATTTCAAACAAGGGTATGAAAGACTCGCCACTCCTCTGCGCCGTCTCTGTCGTCCTCGACTCTGTTTCAGCGCGATCGGTGGTCTGAGCGCAGCTTTTTTTTCGTAGCTAATGTTTGGTTTAACAACAGCTGTATCAACCGGGAGAGACGCCAACATATTGCGTCATGACAACATGCGGCGTGAGAATGTGGGTTGGTAATCCAACCACAGAACAACAGAACAGACCCCGCGAGTGATGTAAAATTTAGGTGGGCGAAAAAATGATCGCAACTTTCGTGTTACGATGTTACGCTTTTCGCTTGTGCTTTACTATCATGTAAAAATAGGGAATCTAAAATATACTGAAGTGCTTAGTTTGTTGCTGTCAGTAGCATTCTACATAAGCTTGATCCATAATAAGATAAGGAAAAAATAAGATGTGGAGTTAATAAGGGCAATCAATTATTGTATACGTAAATACCCTTGTTTACATTAGGTGTATGCGAGATAACGTTTCTTTGAGCATGATAATTATTGACAAGAATGTTTGATTTTGTTTTGATGGTAAGAGTGAACAGTTTGCTTGACTTTTTCCGATTATTTCTGATATTTTGAACATGAGGTTAATTCTAACATATTTATTCATGCGTGGATTCTCGTATAAATAACGTGTATTGTATATCCCTAATGAAAATCTCTGTATAACTAGTGGGTGCCTACCTACATGCCAACTTTCAGCGCAATCAGCCTAGTAGTTAACGAGATATTTCAATTGTTACAAAACTGACACCTCTTCGTTTTGCATGTGGCACGTGCATAAGGGGTCACCCACATGCATCGGGAATGATCCAATGCTTCATACTTGGTAGAAGGAATGAAGCTACCCTACACAAATTACAAATTTACAGCATGTAAATCGGTCAAGTGGCTGCTGAGATAAGTGAAACTATTTAAAAATAAAGGTACTGTATTACAGAAAGCTTTCGCAAAACTTGGTTTTGCGAAGGCTTTGTTCATTTTGCGGAGGTTTTCTGTGATACAGTACCTTTATATTTAAATCGTTTCACTTTCACCATAGGTGACATGAATCATGTTATCAACATGATTCATGTTGAACATGATTCATGTTATCTATGGTTTCACTTATCTAGTCACATATGTCATTCTACGTTCAACGGTTGCTGAAAGTAAACACATTAATGACAAATAACAAAAACGTAAAACAAATGTGGCAAGAAATGATGTATGTAGGTACCGAATCACAGAAAATATGGATGAACACTAGCGGATCCAGGGGGGCTGGACCATTTTGGGCAGCTACCTCAAATGCCTCCCCCACAGCGCCCGAAATCGACGAAAATTTGCGGCTTTTCGAGGATAAAGGGAAACTTAACATATTTTATGAGGAAAAGTTCGTTTTAAACGACGCAGCAGTGCGTTAGAGATCAAAATCCGATGAGTTTTTGGAATTTGAAGACACTTTTAAGGGGTATGCCTCCGCAGCGTCCAAGACCGCCTTTCTGGATCCGCCAATGTGGATGAATATATCAACAGAAAGCAAGAGAGTATTTCACCGCCATCCAAGGTAAAATGGTTTTGTACCCTATGCTGATGCGCAGTGCACACTCGGGGTAGTTGCCTGCAGAAAGACTAGCTTGGCAAAATATTATCAGCAATTAGCACGTTTGTCACAGTTATCAGAAAGTATGAACATGAACCAATGCTTGGATTTAATTTTTAGTTACAAGTCCTATCTAAATAGTAAATGATATCGCGTGCAACTTTTATAATGTACTTAGCACTTACTCTGTTTGTGTTGCGTACTTGCATTGTTCGGGACCCAATGACCCGGGGCGATCCTACCCACGTGACCCGGACCCTCCTGTGACGGTGACACGTGCCCGTCTGGGGCAGTGACCCGTGCCCGTCTGTAGCAGTGACCCGTGCTCGCCAATGGCAGTGACCCAGGGCGGGCAGGGACCCGTGCATAATGACCCAGCGCGGGCAGGGACCAATGCACAACAATGACCCAGGGCGAGGCAGGAACTCGTGCACACGTCCCGGGGCGGGGTAGGGACTCGAGAACAGTGGCCCGGGGCGGACAGTAGCTCTGAGTGACCTGACCCACTGACCCGGGATGGTCTAGCTCAGTGACCCGGGCACACTAACCCCGGCCGACGGAACTCACCTGGGTGTTCCTCAGCTGGCCCCATCCCGGTACTCTGCCCGGCCACCGGACAGACACTGCTCCTCCTCCATTCGCCAGGCGGAGAACGCCGAGCTGAGCCTCTCATACGGCAGCGAGGGCGGCCCGTCCGCGCCGCCGTGCAGCACCCAGTACAGGAACTCGATGTAGCGCGACGCCAGCCGCAGGGTCTGAATTTTGGACAGCTTGTCCGAGGGCAGCGTCGGGATGATCTGTCGCAGCTCATGGAAGGCCGAGTTGAGCAGCTGGGTGCGGTGCCGCTCCCGGTTGTTGGCCATCTGGCGCTGAGAGTGCAGCTCCTGCAGACTGTGACACACGGATGAGCGCCGGCGTCCCGACAGCGCGCGCTCGCCGGTGGGTCGTCGGCGCCGACGGCTGCGGGCTGGGGACGGTTCTGTGGGCGGCGGCGGCGACTCGGCCGGACTCCACTGGAGACAGGGCGACTCCCAGCCGGTGCTGTGGAGGTTCGCCGCGCCGGCCGTGTAGTCCAGGACGGGGTAGGCCGGCAGGTAGATGTCCGTACCCTCCGGCGAGGGCAGCTCGCGCTTGACGCAGAGTTCGTGGCTGGGAGCGCCGGCGCCGCTGCGCATTGTGGCCGGCCCTGGAGCGCTGCGGACGGGGACTGGCGCGGCGCGCTCACAGGGAGAGCACGTGTGCCGCCCCTGGCCGCCAGCCAGCTGGGGGCGGAGCCTGCGCACAGAGGCGACCATTCAGCGCGCTTTTTGCCGGCTCCAGCGCTGGGCCCGCTTAATTGCCAGCCGGTAATGAGCGAGACGCGATGGGGACGGGGCGGGGCGGGGGCCGACCCTGGGACGGCCGGACAGTGCAGCGGCCGGTGTCGGATTCGGGTGGCGTCGGTGGCGTTACGAGCGGGGACAGGGGCGGCGCGTCAGCCGACGGTCCCGCTCGGAGGCTCCCTAGTGCTGCTTCGGGGATGGATTATCATCAGTAGCGCTAATCGGGAAACGATTCACGGATAGACGACGGAGCGAGTAACTTATTCTCCGAAACTGTCGCTTAGGAGTCGATACAGAAGGCATGTAGGTAAATGTAATGCGCATTGCCATAGACACCCCGTCACAGTTAGACACCTACCCAATAGATTCTTGAGCTTCCAATACAGACAGCATATGTATTATTATATAAGCTGCATGTAGTTTGAGTTCTTTTTATAGGTCATTTGAATAAGACGAAAGAAAGTTAGCAATATGCGTACATATTCAGAATCATAACTTAATGCAAGGAAAAATTCGATTGTCGACATCCAACCGGCAACCACACTGCGAAAACATGAGACGGAAGCCTTAGGGATTATTAGTTGCTGTAATTGCAAACATAATTTTACTAATACAAAACTTAGTGATATCATTCGCGATGTAGGGAATTAGGTAGATGCGTAATGTAACCGAAGGTTTGTGTTCAGTAGTTGAAAAAACTATTGGCTACAATTGCGTTTTTTTATTGGAAACAATGTTCTCGAACGTTTTTGTAAAAGCTGTAGTAACGTTATAAGGGCAGCATATTTTTATAAACGTCTTCACAAATGGTCGGATGATTTCGGCGCTGTCCCTGCATGGATGATGGGGCATGTAGGGATGAGATGGTGATTGGCCGATACCACCCACCATGTAGGTATTGAATCCCTTTGTATGAATATGTGTCCCTATCCAAGAGTTGGTACCCTGCTCCTGCTTTATCCACTATTCCTACTTTACCTATACCCATATCCATCCACCCCTATCAATCCTTCCAAAAATTTATCACCAAAATAATTAAATCAATGGATCTATTTAACGACAAATGGGAACAACTTAACATTGCATTGCTAAGGAGAGTAGGTATAGGTGTACCTACTACCTATGATGTATTTTTAGAAAAAAAGTCTTCGAAGGAAACATCCGAGAAATAATTACGATGAGCCCTAAAGGGAATGATTAATGGTACAGCTCCCCTCTCTGGGTGAGGGAGATCATGTTTCCCCTTCCCGGACCTTCTTTTATCTCCACCTCCCTGCAGTGTCCCTGCACTGGAGAGGGTTCTACTCCGTGGCATGGCCAGAACAGGGGGTGCTAAGAATAGATAATGTCGAAACTAGGAGGGCCTTAAAGGGTTTGTTGAAAGACACGTGAAACATTGATGTTTCGGGCCTATTAGCGCGGCGCAATCCCAAATGATGGTTGAGGATGCTGTCAATGATACCTACCAGCATGTAAATAGCAGCTCAAAATCATAAAGTAGTGATTTTCAATATCAAGATATGAGGAGATAGGTATAACAGCTTGTAACAATTCGAAAATCAAATTATGTTAAACAATGATCGAAATTACCGTCTGTCCATTTAGGCCGTAATCACCACGCTATATGTGGGACGTCTTTGATGTCAATAGACAATACATACATACATACATACATACATACATACATAAGCCTGGCTCCAGCTCGCCCACGCTGGACAGGCACCTGTTCACAGCGCCACCGCTCGGTGGGGGGTGAGAGGGGCTGTCGGCAGTTTCCGGGTCGCCGCTCCCCTGTCCTCTCGCAGTGGTCACTGACTCAGTATATATGACCGTCGGGCGGCGCGCGGGGCGCTCTCTCACGTCGCTCGTCACTCCCGTCTGCCGGCCAGTCGACTCCGAGACACTGTTTATTCAGGTGCATCAGTCGGGAAACTCGAATCCCCGCCGAGCCGCCGGCCGCCGGCTCCCAGCGGCGGCGCGGCCGTGATTCAGCGCCGCTCCGACCCGAGTCCGCCCGCCGCAGAGGCCCGTCGGTCGGTTCGACGCTGCCGCTCCGTTGCACGCTGCACAGATGTCGACGGCGGGATGCTGCAGCGACCCTGACGTCGCGGCGCAGGTGCAGCAGCGACGCGGGACCGTCCCCGGCGTCGACCGCGACCGTCGAGCTGGAGTTCTGGGACCGCCGTACGAGTCCGGGAACGCCGGCTAGGACAAGCGCCTCCACAGACTATCCTTCTCTGTTGTAAATGCAACCTCTTCCGTGATTATTTCATGCACATATTTTACTTTTTAGCTTCCCCGACAAATTTTTCCTCCCTGTATCTAACCCCAGCCTCCGAGTCCGGTGGAAAAAACAATCGTCCATCTGAAAATTTGAAACAATGATGTCCCTTTAGAAACACGAGGACCTTGTTAACTCCAAAGCGCACATGGTTCTTGGTTATGTCAGCAAAAACAGCACCCATATGATCACACGTCGGTTTAGTTGGCCTTGGCTGTCCTAATTAACTCTGTTGTAACAACATGGCTCCCCGGGGCAGCAGTCGGCCACTGCGCGGCGCTCGGCGGGAGGGGAGCCGGCTCCCGCTCCCCACCTCGACCGGAAGTGGGCCCGAGCCCCCGCGACACGGTCATCTCTAATACGGCGGCTCTTCGGGTCTGAAGGAATGCAACAAACAATCCGTCACCGGGGCGCGGGCAGACAGAGCCGCGCCGACGGGACGGGGGTGTCCGAGACGGGGGAGCGGGCGGCATCTCCCCGGCTCGGCAGCGGCCCACATCTGCCCCAGTCGACCGACAGGATGTCTGAGGAATGCCTCTGGTGTCGGAGAAAACAGCCACTGGCAGTGAACCACTGCTCGGCGCCGGGATTGGGCGCACACGTCACCGCTCATCGGCGGCAGCCGGTGCCCGAGTCTCGAGACAGCAATGGCACATACATTCGTGAGTCAATATTGCATGTTCGTGACGAATGCTGAAAAGAAACTGAAGGATTGATGTTTGGATTATCTCCCTGGATACAAAAGAATAATAATTGAGTGCTTGCTTAGAACTTTGCGCAAATCCTATAGCTATAAATAGTCCACCAGAAGTTCACCCTAGTGTGTCGTGTTATGCTCGTGTATTTAACCTCATACGGATACATCCTTATATCGATGAAAAGTCGAACCGTCTTCCGACACGTTTAGGACATTGTTTGGTATATTACGAGCGGTTTGATTATCTGATCTTAGGTACCCCTTTAGTTAGGCACCTTTTATTCCCCGTAACATAACAATGTCTCGCATGTAAGTATCAACATTTTAAAACTGTTCTGCAACCACGAACAATCTGTTGTGGGCGTATAACAAACTTTTAAAGTCTGCAATGTTGTTAAAAGATAAAAAATTATTATTTATATTTCATGTCACTGATTTGGCAAAATGAACGGCTACATCCAAACTGAAATATTCACGTGAATACATTGAAATAAATCGCTGAGCACGGCTTAGAATAATTCACAGCTCGGCGCACGAACAAGCAAGAACTTCACTAAGGACTTCACGTACGAGTCTCACTTGATGTCGATTGTCGTGGAAGGCAAACGCCAAAAAGCTCTTGTAGTTACTTTCGGAAACTGTCGCGATTGTTTCCTGCCAATTGTTTTATTGTCTGTCCATGCCCTGCTAATAGCTGGGCGCCGTCCGTCCGACTCTCACCGTCCGGTCATACCCCCGAATAGCCCGACATCTGGGGACCGCCGGCACTGGCCATTCCCGTTATCACACACTTGGCTATCGACACTCGACTGACGACCCACGTGTGTGAGGGGGGGGGGGGCGTGGGAGCGGCCGTCGGAGCCATAACACGGTCAGTGACGGCCGAGAGCGCGCCCCGCCGCTGGTAGAGAGAGCCGTAACGCAGTGAGCTGATTATAGACGGGGCTCGGAGGGATGGCTGTCACTGGACAGAGTCTGAGTGGGAACAACTCCAGGCGCTGGTGGAGTACCGGAACGCACTATAACGCAGTGACTGCAGTGACCACCGACCAGGGGTTACTAATGCACTGACCACTGGCCACTGGCCAATGAGTAATGACCACTGGCCGACGGACGGTCGCTGTCCCTGGTCGGAGTCTGAGCGGCTGTCGTCTGGGATCGTCCCTGATACGGCCACATCAGACGCGACAAAACTAACAAACAACAGTGCGACTCCGTACACACAGGACAGGGGCTCAAAACGCCACTACTGCCGAGACGGAGCCTCAAAACACCACCCAAATCCGTGAGAACATTACCCAAAATAACCATAACAATACGGGACAGCGCCATTATCATAATCCGCACACAGGGGCCACAGGCCACGGATATACCTCTTACGAAATTCAAAACATCAAGCTGCAGTCAATGCCGATAGCACCAATAGCTTGAGAAATAATATGCCGACAGCAGTAGTGTCAACAGAGCCAACGGGTCTCCTCCCCCCCCCCACCGCCATCGACGGGGGCAGATCAACAGACCGCATAGAGCGAAACGGAGGGACGTATGAACGAAAACAAACCCGAGAAATGGCCGCCGCCCCCCGGCGCGACCGCCGCCGTGCCACGACACAGGACACCCCCTTCTTGCTGCTCCTGCTGAGGGTTAGGAGCCGAGGGGCAGTAGGGGTAGCAGGGCGGACAGGGGCAGCACTGAGGGGGGGGGGACGACAGGAGCCGTCCTACCCTTGGCCCTACCGAGACGGGACATAAGATCCGAGACACCGGTAGCACGAGTGGCCACTGAGCAGCATCTCAGAGCATCAGGACGAGTGTATGGAAGCGACTGGCGACGGAAAAAGCCCACGGAAAGGCAACGGAATTTGCGCATAACTGCCGTAAATTTCGTGTGCGTCAGTCAATTGAGCCACTACTGACT